AACCCCTGCTGGGCTAGACTGTTACACTGTATTTGCTTGTCTGGGTGGTCTCCAGGTCATAACTGCCTGAGCTCCAGCAGAGACAGGTGCTGCCACATTTCCTTATCTTTGTGCATCTGCTGCAAACAGTCGTCTTCAAACTGTGTCCACATCATGTGACCATAAATGTTCACACTCTGACGCCTTCTGAGGTACAGGTTATAATTATCGGACTATACATCTTATTTTGAGGATATTGTAGCATTATAATGATCTGATGCAGCTGTTATTAATCTCTCAGACTGCTCAAAAGCTTAAAATGTTCACACTAAATAATCAACTAACAAATACATTTAGAAAAAAAGGCGAATAGCTGTGCATTATTTTTACACACAGATAGCCTGATAATTACTGTTCTATATTACTACGCTGTGAGCATCACCATAGTAATTGGTAAACAAATGTACTACATTTAGTAAGGACATCTAGCTAGCTTCAACTAAAACAGAAATAAATAATGCTTTGAACATCCATGAACAGTCAAAAGGTTGTCCAATTTAAAAATGTACTATTCAGTTGTTGGGACCATGATATAAGCAGACTAAACAACTTGGAGCAGAGCGTTACACAGTTTACACATATGGAGTAAACACCTCTTACAGACTCCACAGCTTCATGTTGTTTAATTCTTACTTAAATTTAATTGCATATGATTTACATTAAATATACACTAGTAATAGTTTTAAGACTGTTTTAAAGACTTACATACCAGCTAAGATAATTAGCATCTTATCTAGTCTCTGCTCAAACTAAATGTCAATAGTCGCACAGCTAAGCATACTTAGTCCTCAGTAAAAACTGGCATATAGTATTGATTTACTTTAGTGTGGCGATGACAATGTAAGTGTGAACAGTCAGGCCTGTAGGCGGGACACCTGTGTGCCCTGAGCTTTTTGCAGAAGTTGTTCGTGTAGATTTTTAACTGTGTAGCAAGAGTTTAAAGGTCATACTCATTCCTTTTCTCACCCTGTCTTTGAATGGTGTCACATTGCCCTAATGTAAAAATAGTCAAACACAAAAGCTAAACTCACTTTCTTTTTCTACACAGCTGCAAATCTGAAATAGCATTTGACACATAATTGAGATAATAGCATTAGTTTTGATTGCCATTGCTGACTTGCTATTGTAAAATCAATACATCAGGGAGGTTTGTCCACTAAAACTGTCCATGGTACATTAATAAGTGCAGTGGAGGCAGATGACCAGGAGTGAGTGTGAAAGAGTAAAGACATGCCTGAACACTCACGCTACACTCAGCATCCTGGCCCTGTAAGATAAGGCACAGTGGTACATTGTGAGGCTGCAGCAGTCACCCTTCACTATATGGCACCAGTAGCAACCTCTGTCAGTGTGTGGACCCATTACTGAAAATATATCAGTGTAAGCTACATTAGAAAATACTTAATCATTATTTCATTTTTGCTGTTTCTTCTTACCACCTCTTGTATGTAGCTCAGATATATTTGTATTATTATATTTCTATATTTTATTTTTACTTGTACATATACATATATATAATTATATATGACACAATATTTGATACCAATCTTTTGCTATTTTTGCTACTTGTAAATGTATTATTACTATTTATATTTTTACTCTTTGTTATTATACTATATTGTGGTGAATCAATAAAGTTTGTCTAAGTCTATAAAGCTTGAGATCTAGCAAAATAAATGTGCCAAATGTTCATAGAAATACATTAGTGAAACCAAAAAAAGAGCTATGAAACAATACAATAATATATTGAATCACTACTGGTAAATACATCTACTCCATCAGAATGCTTGGAATGAATGCCACGTTTAGTAATTAATTATCATATTACAATGTCCAGTAGGCTAACTGAAAATTCTCTGAGATGTGACTATGCAATCCCAAGCTCAAAGGTAGGGGCAGTGCAACATATTTACTACCTCAGACTTAATACATCTTTCAGAGGCATTTTTGTTACTTTTGTTAATTAGACTCAAACAAATGTCTATTCTTGAGAGGGTTGTCAATTTAGATTAGCTGTCCAAAAAGCATGCAAATTTCAGTGTGTGATTTGATCTATCTCACTAAAGTTATGTGTTTTCCTGTGAACAAATGCATTATTGTGGTCGGACTCTGTCAATCACCAGCAGCCTGAGGCCAAACAGGAAGTTTACCCATCTCTTAAAACCCTGCAGCAAGTAACCTTTCAAACCAGGTTATATTGGACTGCAAAACTCACACTTACACACTGGTACATCATGAGTATGATTCCATGGGCATTCCATAGAAAGTTAAAACCATACTCTTTGGCACCATGGAGATATAGATATGTTTATTTTTTGCCATACTGGAATTTCATTGCCCAAACAACAACATGTCCGTGGACACAAAAAGGAGAAGACCCTTCTCCAAGTAAGACTCAGGTTTGTGAAGATGAAGTCCACTCACAGTAAGGATGTATGTTTTTTTCAGTGCAATAAAGCATCTAATCCTTTAGACTAAAGAAAGACTTAAGTAAAACAAAAAGCGTTAGAATCATTTCTGTGTTGTTTTATAAATCAGCTCTGAAACCCCTTAGTCAGGAGAAATACAGTGAGCCCATGTGAGTTGCATCAGCCAAGAGTGGAAAAATGTCTCTAACATGCAAAGAGGCTGAGTGCACGGGCCAGGGGCGTCTTTATGGGCCCACGGACACAATCTGACTGGAACATGTGGTTTAGATCTGATCACGTGCAACAACGAGGCCAGTTCAATGATCATTCACTGCACTGGAGTGATGAGAAACACATGGCAGTTCAAACTCTAACGCCTGGTTTCAGTCAACTCTTTTCTCGTGGGAGCCCTGTTTTCAAGCCAGCAAACAATGGCACTGTATTCATTCAGCTTTTCAAACATTGGTGAGAATCCCAAACAGGTTTTAGTGCTAAACTACATAGTATGAGGGCTAATGTGTTGACAGGCATAGGAAAGTCATTTGTCTGTAGTACACCGTGTTTTTGCAATAACCACACCTATGGATTTTACAGATATGAAGATAATGCTGTCAGACATGAAAAACTTTTACTTAGAGGCACGTGCTCATTCTTTACACTCCCGGTTTAAAGGAAAGATAAACTACAGTTATGCCACAATATTGCATTTGATAAAACTAGGATAAAATACTAGGGTAAAATTGTTAAGTCACCATTAGAGATGCAACAACTTTGAAACTGTACATTTCCTGTAGATGACACAGCCTGTGTGGCCATGGGAGTGGATCTTTCCTTCACTGTGTTTCCCCTCAAGGTCCCTCTTTTTCCCACAGGTTTTTTTTAAATTAATTTATTTTTTTATTTTTCACTTATTCATTTGCATGTTTCCTGAATCCTGTGAACTGGTCAATCTGCTTGTCATTTGTTGGCCAGTGACTGTTTCATTGTTTGATTTTCAGACTTTCTGAATGTTAAATGCTGCTAGTGATATTGGGTTATTGGGTTAAAAAAATGCAAAAAGGTATGTTGCTTTACTCAAGGTTGATATAATAATCTAGGGTCTCCACTTGATGAACTGCTTCCTAATAAGTGCTGACTCACTAATGACCTTTCACCTTAGAGACAAACCTCTTATTCCCTGTGAACAGCTGGCTAATCCTGAGCACTGATCCGAGAGAGGAGCTGCAGAGTGGACACCAGGCTGCACAGGGGGTGTAAATTTGTGCTGTGTTAGAAAGTAGCATTTCAGACTCTTGCCCTGTGTGACTGGCGACAGCGATAGACCCTACCCATGTGTCTGTGTGCTGTTTAACTACACATTCACTTCTAAATCAGGTGATAACTAAGAATACTTGGCTGCATACCACTGAGAAGAGAATATTGTGATGACATGACACATTTTAGCACCTACAAGGCAGTGAGGGGCCCTGTTCAATAATGTCCATGAGAAATACTCTTCCCACTATTGCCTAAGGGCCTAAGACCATTTATGCCCTAGATACAGAATTCAGTCTTTCACAAAAACTTTCTGCATTGTCCCACGCCTGTTATCTCTAGCCATTCTCCAAACGCCAGAGCAGATAATGGACTTGGTCATTCTAGTTGGAGATTAAGCCAAGGGGAATATTGTGTTAGGGATAGAGGAGGGCTGAATGAGAACTAGGAGACAGGCTAAAGCCATAGGCGTGCACTGGCACCCCGGGCGATGCTGGGACAGTCTCAGGGCTGATATGTCCTGACACTGTTATGAGAGAGCTGCTGGGCTGTAAGAGGCAAAGAGGAAGCACACAGATATTCACACGAGATGCTTAGCATGTTAGCATGATGCAATTTGGAGGTCGATGGACCAGATTTGAACAGATTTTGCAGCCAATAATGTTTTCTTGTCAAAGCATGTCTTGTGTTCATTGTTTGACCTTAAAGCTCTTTTCCTTTTCTTTTCTATCTTGCCTGTCTTCATGTGAGCTCTGATTTGCATGCAGATGTGACATGACACTAGAGGATCTGCTCTGTGTATCCGGATTTAAGTTAGGTGTTACATCTTTAGTGTCTTACTTAAGTTAAAAGGTTAACAGTTTGTCTAAAACTTTTGTCCAGTTTACAGAATTGAAATTTTCAATTGCTACCTGGACAACTGAGGAATTACACAGACATTTTATATCTTTGAACTATACACCTATAATTGGCCTATATAAAATGATGATGTTTAAGGACGGCTTAATATATTTACAAATGCATATTTTCTTTTGGCATTTCTCATTGGAATTGACATTATTATTTGTCCGTAACCTTTTATGTATGAGCCATTTAGCTAGGCTTGGCACAAATAAAACACTTTTTACTGGCTTTTAACAACCACCACAGGTGGTAGTAAATAAATATTACTAAAATAAAATAACTCACTATAATTATGTTGTAAAAGATTGTTTAAGACTTGCTGACAGGTCTTCAGATGAACCAAACCTGCTACTGAATCAGCACAGTCTCCCCTTAGGGCAAAAGAGAAATACAAACCTGTGTTATTCATAGTTGCTGCTCCGAGGCCTAACACATGCTTTCTCAGAGCTGGAGAGTTGAGGTACTTTGTGTGGGAAAAATTTGAGTTCCGCACCCAGTTGGCGACCTCCTTGACCTGTAGGGGTTTCTTGGCTTCACCTTGGCCATGGGAAGATGTCCACTGTCTTATCACTGAAAACGAAAAGGAGAGTCACATATTAAGCAAAAATAAATGGTGATAAATTTGAATGAGTCATCTGTTTTGATTAATTTATTCACAGTGATGGTTGGCCGATGTTGAAGGAAATAAGGTCAGGTGGGGTGACTGGTGTTTATAGACAACACAATGTGGTACTATCACGCTCATTTCTGGATAGTGTCAAGTGGTACAAGTCTTGAGCCATTTATAACCTCACACTGTGCTGTTAACAAAGTCAAGATGAGAACAAACAGAAAAAAGTGAAGTCAGGCAGCTGCTCACACAATGAGAAAATGTCTCTTGTCTAGTGTTTCATCAGCTCATAATATGTTCAGTACTTTAACAACATGGCTCTGACCTGAGTCACTTAGAGCTACGTGAGACAGTGTAAAGATGGTATCACTGTAAGGTGTATACTTCTCTGTCAAGGGATTTAAAGACACACAATACAGACAGGTTTATAGCAGAAACTATAGGAGGAGTTCATAGTCAAACATGCTCCTTAGAGTATTAGCATAATGAAACCTACTACAATCATGTTATGTAATGTATAACTCATTGAATATTATGTGCACAAATAGATGCAGAAGATGAAACTAAATACGTATTTACATAAACACACACAATATTCAGTGCATTTGCTGAAGTAGAACAAGAAAAATTGTAAATATAAGTCAATACATTTTTATATCAGCGTAGGTAGCCTTGACCAAGCCTAGCAAAAACTTCTAAACATGGGTTCTGCTCCAGATGAGGTGCAACAGCGACACTGAAGGGTTGGTCAAACACAGAGGGCAAATTTCACTATGAGGACAATAAAGTGTAATTTATTGGTTACGTACTGGTGCAAGAAAAAAAAAAAATCCTAAGATCATGCTCATTGTGATGAAAGAAATAGTGCAAATTTTGGATCTTGTCCTTTCCAACAAGCACACAGTGTTTAGTGAGAAAGGTAGACATAAAGTTTTCTGGTGAATGAATAAACTCTACAGCCATCACTCCCTATTTTAATAGAATAGAGTCAGACCCTTCACACTAAAAGTTCACAGGTGTTTTCTAATGTTGCTTTTGTTTAGTAAAATGTAAGTGTTGCTCATTTTGCTCCTCAAAAGTCTTAATCCTGTTTAGGGGCATTTCCATGACAGGAGAGCTGAGTTGTTTGCGAGCCTCTGAGGAGTGTGCCAGATGCCCTCCTTTTCAGAGGCCCTCGTATTCAAATCACAGCAGCTGGGGAGTGCAATTGTAGGAGGTGAAGTAATGGTCCGAGTCTATGGAGTTTTTTAAGTTGGGGGTGGGGGATATAAAGTGGCACACGTCTGTTTTGAAGGTCTCTTGTGTTTGATAGGCACTAACGGGGCTTGGGGTGTCTTTCAAGCCTGATGCTGTGAAGCTGAACGTGTGAATAAAGGCGGAGAGCAGGGCGGGCGGGGGTGGCATGTGGCTGGAGCGACAGCAGGTTGTCTGCCCACAGGCGCTGATGCTGCAGCAGGGGCCGTGGTAGGGAGGCACACATGTCACTTGTGAGTCTGACATTATTCTCTTTGTCTCACTGTGAATAATGTATTCTGCCCACATTCAGTGCCAAGACGTGATTTTCTACAGTATGCTTCAACATATGCTGACCCTGGCATTTCAGATGGACATGTGATGTTACAAGGCTTTGGCTTTCTAAGTGAAGAATATTTGCAAATAACTGAATGATTCAGCATTATTGGCACAATACAGACAGTAATCTGTTTCATGTGATTCAAAAGGCACATCACCAGATAGAAAAAGAAAAACATATTTCAAACTGCAGGTAGTTAAAGTCTCTTTGCAAATAAGTCAGTGCTTTGCACAATATGCAATATTGAAAATTAAACTGTGTAGTTGGCAAAAATTTTCATCTAATAAAATGTTATTAACTTAATAGTAAAATAAATTAAAGACACTTACTACATGCCTTTTTGATGTGAATACAGTAGTTATGTTCTGGGGGCTTTGTAGTTGGGGCTTCTCATGGTGGAAAAGTTCTCAGAATACACCCATCACACTAGTGCACGTCCTCATATGAATGACTTTTAGATCAGGGGAAAGTTTTGTGTGTGTGTGTGAAATATATATATATATATATATATATATATATATATATATATATATATATATATATATATATATATATATATATATATATACCGTTTATGGTAAAACGGTGCGCGGAAGTTGTTTTGAAGGAGAAACAAAGAAAAAAGTAAACCCAGAGAAAAGCACCTTAATCTAGACCAAGTGCGCCACCGCCTGTCTTTATTAAACATTGCAATTGCAATTAAAGTTCGCATTTACAATAATATAAGTTATCTTACACCTGACACGAATTTATTCATACATATACAAACAATGAAAATCTTAGATATTATTGTTAGGCATGTTGTAAATTCTAGCTAGTCATTCAGTCAGTGAAAAGCAATCGTTCGCTTGATTTGCCTGTTGTGATGAGTTGCTTTTTATTGGCTCTGTCAACATTTGTTTTAGGTTTTTTTTTAAATTATTATTATTACGCTTTAGACCTACAAAAGTCGTTTAAATAGGATACTGTAAGATGTATTGATTGCATTCATTTGTAATCGATTCACTTTTGCTCAACTAGCTTTGCCTTCAAGGCAGGATAGCTGCTAACACAGTCACACGGATCATTTTAGTTGATTATTTCGTTACATCTTAAAATATGGACCGACTGGGACCCTTTGGGAGTAAGTGTGTACCTAATAAAGTGTTTAGTTGTTGCTTAAGCCTAAACCGGTAATAACATTGCTATGCTACTAGTTTGAGCATAGCAAGGCATAGCATTGTGAGCTAACTAGCTTGTGTTTTTATTTTCTGCTAAATGAGGGCATTTAGCATGTTAACAAGCAAAATGTTTAGGATCAAAGCCTATTAATTTTTTTAAAATTTGTTTTGCATTCGAAGCACTTTCTTTCAGTGACAGTGCTGCTGTTTTAATGTTATAGATGACCCGTTTGATAAACCCCCATGCAAAGGATGTTCTTCTTACCTCACTGAACCGTACATTAAATGCGCAGAGTGTGGACCCTCTCCCTTTCTGATCTGCCTTCAGGTAAAAACTATATTTAAAAATTATATTTGTAATCATCTGAGGGGTCAGTACAACTGATTGGCTAAATAATAACTAATTATCTAAATAGTAAATAAATAATGATCTTTTTGTAGTGTTTTACACGAGGATTTGAATACAAGAAGCACCAGAGTGATCACAAGTATGAAATTATGGTATGTTTTCATTGTTTGTCTCCGAACATCTATTTTTGACAGATGCAGCAACATAATCTATTTATAATGATGCATGGACTTGTATTGCACTTTCCTCACTCAAAATTATCTGTACACTTTAGTACATTATTTATTCACTGTCCATCTGTGGTGGTAGTAAGCTCCTTTGCTAGCCACAGATTCTCTGGGACAGACTGACAAGAGTGAGGCTGCCAGTCTATGCCATGGGTCCCTCCAACCTTATGATCAATCACTCATATTCCACATTCAAAATGGGCATGGAGGGCTCATGGAGGGCACACAACAACAGTGCTGGTCATAGATGGGCTCAAACCACCCATCTAGTGCCCTTACCATCTGCCTCTTGTGTTAGTAAAGTGATGGTGGAGGATGTTTTGTTGTTGATGCCTTGATGTATACTATGATTTCTAACCTGCTCTTGCAGACCTCAGACTTCCCAGTGCTGGAGCCTGGGTGGACAGCCCAAGAAGAAATGGCTCTTCTGGAAGCAGTTATGGATTGTGGATTTGGAAACTGGTGAGTTAGTTGTGACATACAAGTATTAACTTTTGATCTTTAACTTGCATAACTTGTTGAATGTTTGGATCAATTTCAGTTTCAAAGTATATTAGATGATAATCAAAAATACAGTTAAAATATTTTACTTGTGTCTTCACAGGCAGGATGTAGCATATCAAATGCGCACAAAAGCCAAAGAAGAATGTGAAAGCCACTACATGAAGAATTTCATCAATAATCCCTTGTTCTCTTCCACTTTACTCAGCCTGCAAAAAACTAAAGACTCACATTTTGCAGATACCGCAATTCCATTTAAACGTGGGTGTCTTAATTAATGTTTCTTTAGCATTGTGTAATATCTGACTATCAAGCTGACAGGATTTCATCCAACAACAGTCATATGTTGAGTTCTATGTAAATGTTTAATTTTATTGCTTACATTTTGCATATTATATTCTTAAGGCATGTCTTTTGAGCAGTTAATGTAGTACATACAGTTGGTCAGAAGCATTTGGTTAATCAGGAATTATCTTGAATTTGTAGGTTCCAGTTCCCCATCTGTGTGCTGTGTGAGTGCTTAACAAACATTCACAGTTTTGTTTATAAGACAGTTGGCGCACCCTCACTACAGATAAGATTTGCCTTAGCTACTGGCATGCCACTAATTTTAGACTCATATTATATATTGTAAATTAACTGAGCAAATCATGCTGATATTATGGTGAAACATTCAACAATTATATAAATAATTTTAATTAAAGTGTTATAAGCTCTCAATCACTGTATGTGTTTTTGATATTACAGCCACAGATGACCCACCTCGTCCCACTTTTGAGTCAGTGCTATCTCGAGATATGGCTGGATACATGCCTGCAAGAGCTGACTTCATGGAAGTGAGGACTCGATATGCCAAAATAGATCAGTTATGATTATGAAGTTTAATACAGTGTGTTTTTGTTTTTTTCTCTAGGAGTTTGACAACTATGCAGAATGGGACTTGAAGGACATTGACTTTGTAGATGATGACTCTGATGTCCTACGTGGTATGCTTCATTTGATTTTTGACATTTACAAATTTAAAGCATTTAGACACTTAAAATAATCTGTCACTTATCATAACTTATGTTGCTAATTTTCAGCACTCAAGCTTGCAGTTGTTGATATCTATCATTCAAGATTAAGGGAGAGGCAACGGCGGAAAAAGTAAGCAGTTTTGGTTCATTTAAAGGTTGATGTCTCTTAGCACATTGTACTTCTTGTAATGAGCCCTATTCATCACTAGAGGGCATATGCTGTAAAATATTAAGGTTACACAATTAAGTAAAATGTAAATTCAGATACTGTGTTCTGAAGGCTTTCTATTAGTACATAATATATCTTATTAGACATACTATTTGATTTAGATATCTCGTTGCAACTGCTAGTTGGTTGTAACACCTGCCTTGAATATATTGCTGTCCAGAGCTGTAATGAATCCTTCTCTAAATCAGCCTCATCGACTGTGAGCTCTCCAAGTATGGAGGAATGGTATGCCAGGATGGGCAAGCATGTTTTTAACTATAGCTTTCAATATATCTTCTCAAGTTTGTGACATAAGATCTTCAAAGGGTATGACCTTTGAAATGCCAGGCTCAGAGCATTCTGATTGGACTCTGATTCATTGGATTCTTGAATAATTGATTCAATCATGCTATAAATGTTAAATAATATTCATACAAACACATGATCTAACAATAAGTGCTTTTATCTGCATTATTTTTAATTTATGTTTTAATTTCTTTTAGGATTATCCGAGACCATGGTCTCATCAACTTGCGGAAATTTCAGAGTAAGTTTTTTAGAGTTGTACATTTAGGCTTGGCTATAACGGCACACCCCACAGCCTGTGGAGGCATTTGATATCTGCCTAATAAAATGCTGAAGGCAGTTTCTCTGGACACATGCAAACAGGTTCAGGGTAATAAGCAGCACTAACCCCAGTGGCCCCTGATGTAGCTGGAGTGTGGCAGCTGACAAAAGCATGTATTTACGAACAGTCCTTGAATAGTCTGCAGAGCCTGTGCCACAGTGTAAGTGCTTTAGTGTGAGTGGAAACCATGCCATGAGTGCTGCTGTTATAATAGAAAGGAGAGGTGAGTTTCTTTTATTGATCCACCTGCCACAGGTTGCTTCTCCACAGCCAGCCTCTGGGCTCATGCTTTAGCACTGAGACAAAGACTGCTGTTAGCCATGAATGGATTTGTCCAATTAAAGCCTGTTGTCCGCTGCCTCAGAAACCAGACCCACACATCGCTGTGAGAATTTGTGGTTTGGGAGTTCAAGAGTTCTCCTCATGTTTTATTTATGTATCCTCCAGCCTCCCTTTCCTTCGCCTTATCTCTCCGGTCTTTCAAGACAAAAGCGGACTCACAGTCGCCGCGGAGCTGCAGACCGGTTGTCATGGAGACTGTCAAAGATTGTCTCTGCGGGCAGCGAGTGTGTTTGTGTGTTGTGTGTGTGTTGTGCGCGTCACATGCATTCCTACAGCCTGGAGGCACACAGTATCATGTCTCCGTTATAGCTGGAGGCACACTGGCCCCTGTTGTGGTCTCTGGCCTGTAGTGTGAAGTTCTGAAGCAGCTTGTTATATGACATGAGTGAGCCCTCTGCTTTTGCATGGGTTTGATTTAGTTCTGTGCTGGTATTCACTCGCATAACAGCCTGTGTCCACATCTCCATAGAGACATGCACTTTTCATCTCTGTGTGTGTCCACTCATTTGCATGATTTCATATGTTAGACCGGAGTATGGCAACTGCTAATTAGCACATGGATTTAAAAGCAGTGATGGGGAAGATTGGCTTTAGCAATGCTTGCACATGCAGCCACTCCTGTCACACCCACACAACAGCTTTCTCTCCTCTTTGACACTCTGTTACTCAGCAACACGCTGATAAACACAACTCCTTGTATGCCTTGTATATAAGGTACTTATAGAGTAATGTAATGCTAAGTGAAAATTATTTGGTCTGCGCTTTGAGCAAAAGGATTTAATGCTCTGCTATACAACATCTAAATATCTGTGACCAGATCCAGGTAGAGAAACCAAGAAGAGCTGTTACTAGTAATAATACTTGAGTAGAAGTAAAAAGTAAACTAAGAAATTGCTCTAAGAGTGAAAAAGGATTAAGAGAAATTGCTGAGTAGTTGTAAGAGTAACTTTTAGGACATAATATCTGCATTTTAATTTGAAATGATGTACCTGGATTAAAAAAATGCATCAATACACCACAAAAATATATAATTACATCATATCTGAAGGAATGGTACAAAAAATGCTAATATTAAACTCATGTAAAATTGACAACATAAATCTTTAGTTTTTTTAGACTTTTTACAGTCCCACTCCTAGTGGAAAAAGTAATGAAAACTTCTAATATTTTATTTCAATTTACACAAATAATACAGTTATTAACAGCAACTGACTACTACCCGCATACAAAATGGGCAAATGTGGAAATGTTATGACTAGCATATTGATGAGGTTAAATCTCTGAACTGATTTTATGAAAACTACCTCAAAAAAGGAATGATCGTGACAATGATTTGCTCTGCACATATTTCTCAAACATGGAGGCAAAGGGGATTGTTGTTGACAAAAATGTTTACGGAAAGCATTTTGTTGAAGTGCCTTTTATTTTCCAACTTATAAAAGCAGAAGGGAAATCTCTAAGCAGTTCTAAAAGCACATGGATTATCAAACTAATGGTATCTAGGATGCATCAAAAGAGGTGGATTTTCCTTTCATACATTTGTGTTATATTTGTAGTTGCTGCTGCCCACTCACCTCTGCTGTTTCTTTTTTTCTTTCTTAGTACTGGAACGTTGTTATCCAAAAGAAGTGCAAGAAATGTATGATGTGATGAGGCGCTTTGCTCGAGTGGTGGGGCCAACTGAACACGATAAATTCATAGAAAGTAATGCGTGTAAGTGTCCCTGTTGTGGAATGTCTGTGATACAAAGTTAATATGAGCTTGTCAGACATTGCACTCTGATTTAAAGATGAACTGTGCAACTTTTCTGGTATTGGTCCACCTGTCTCCATGGAGATACTATTGCTTTGCCTGGAATATGCCACATCTTAGAATTAGCGTGTGTATCTTGTATTTATTCAGTTACAGGTGTTTTTTTTTACAGTGCTTAATAATACTTCGAAAAACATGTATTTTTGCAGTGAGTGGGATTGCCTTTCCACAGATCTGACCTGTAAATTGTTATTTGGCCTTCTCATGGATAAAGATAGGTTTAATGCCATACTGTTGGCAAAGCAATAGCACCTCAATGGAGACACAATAATTTCATCTCATAATGTTCTTTGGATTTTGTTTACAGTGGAGTTTGAGTTGAGAAAGGAGATTCACAGACTACAGGAGTACCGGAAAGCTGGAATCAAATCTTTTTGCAGTGAGTCCTAAACATCTTTGCCACAGTCATTAAAGCTTTATTATGTGTTATGATCTCTTAGCCCTTTATATTTTCACTTTGGAAAAAAAAGAAAAGCATATTAAAAATAAGCCACAGTCTACTCTACTGTTTACATTTAGGTGCAAAGGTGTATGATCGTGTGAAGCGAGTGCGAGAGGAGGAGCGCAGAAAGAGGACCATGCTGTCAGACGTGCTGCAGTATATCCAGGATAGCCGAGCGTGCCAGCAGTGGCTTAGCAAACAAGCTGCAATGTGAGAGCTCAAATTCCTTGTTGTTAAGTTTGTGCAAAGGTGGGGCTAGGAGGAGGTGACCTGATCCTAAGGTTACCTCTTGTTTCGTTGTCATATAATCTCCTTAATCTGCTCTTTAATTCAAGTATCATGAAGTTGGTTTATTTGAAATTTAATGAACCCCCTCTAAACCTCCACCGCTTTCATTTTGGATATTTTTATTGCAAACATGAATACTTACTATGAGTGGGCTTCCACCTCACTAACTTTACTGTTGCTTGACCTCCTCATGCTTGTTTCCATGGACATGTTGTTCCATTGGCTATAATATTCCACTGTATGACATAAAACCTACCTGAAGAATGTTCTGAAATATGGTTCTAATTTAGCATTTTCCATTAAGTCATGCAGCCGATGTGCCGCTTCTACAAAGTTCTGCACTGTTACTTTAATGAAATGCAATTTGGCTGTGTTGCTTGTTTATGTTGATGATAATTTTTCTCATTACAGAGACGCCGGCATTACTCCACCTGTCACAACGCTCACGGTCTCAGGTAAAAAATGTTTTGTCAAATACATTTTCATCTATGGACTACTATGTCAGTTGTTATTGTGCTATTATCTCTTCATTAAGATGTTTTTAATGTTAAGTCTTATTCAACGTTCTACAGCTTCAGGTAGGCGCAGTGCCCCTCCCCTGAACCTCACAGGACTGCCGGGAACAGAGAAGCTCAATGAGCGAGAGAAAGAGGTACTTATCACTTGTTTCCATCTAATGGCTCACAGCAGTCCCATAAAAGCAAAAGGATGCATTAAACTCTGTACAATGTGTTGTTAGTGCTTCAGTAGAATAAACACTTGAAGCTGTTAGAAAAATGAAATACAGACTCAATTTAAGTAAAGGTCTGCTTGTATTTTAATGTCCCTTACAGTAACCGTTTTGTGCTTGTAGCTATGCCAGGTGGTACGTCTGGTGCCAGGAGCCTACCTCGAGTATAAGCAAGCTCTACTGAACGAATGCAGACGGCAAGGAGGGCTACGCCTCGCTCAAGCCAGGGCGCTAATCAAGATCGACGTCAACAAGACACGCAAAATATATGACTTTCTCATCAAGGAGGGCTACATTACTAAGGCCTAAAGGCACCGTGGACACTAAATACTATTGATTATTTCATATATCATTGTACTGTAAAATAATTGTAAGAAAACGAATCCAGTTGCTGCTCTTTTAAAATACATTATATCTAAATGTTATGTTTGTTTTGTATTATTCCAGTCTGTGTTTGCTGTGTACTGCATTGTTGATAGGTCAGTGTAGTGAGAGCTGTTATAGTAATTATGTGGTCAAGCAGCAGGTCATTGGCCTGTGATGGTTTATCAGAGCAGAGAGCTGAACCTCTGTAACAGTATGATTAGGAAAAAAGATGATAGGCTTGCAAAATGTGCAGTTGGGGCACTGTCTTATTGAATTTAAGGTCTACAAACAAAAGCAAAATAATGTGTTGTTAATTTCTTGGGGCAAGTTTATTTTTCCTTCTGTCATCCCCTTTTTATGATCAAACTAGAGTTTGAAGTCCTTATCCTAAAATATTACATTCAAGCCTACAGTACGCTTCTTTGTGGCCACATCAACTGTTACTGAAGTTGACATTTGGTATTTTTACAGTAATACATTTAAAGTAGTGGTCTATATCATTTAGCTTTATCTAAGTATTAGCCTTCAAGTTGTATATAGCCCTATAGACTTCAGTAAGTAGTTGTGTGTTTGTATTTTATTGACTACTGACTACATTTTTTCATGTGAATGAAATATACAGGGGAGTAGACAGGATGGGGCAAGAAGATATGTTGTCCCAGGCTTCAGGGTCACAAATGTGATCCTCCAATTCATTTATATTAGAGGGGCCCATGTGAGGTTTCTTGCCACAGGCTCCCAAGTCTTGATCAACAGGCCTATGAGTACATAGTGTCATATGGTGTGGCTGCTCCCCTGTCTCAGCCTGATATCAGTCATAGTGTGGCCCTCTCTGTAGCATGGTGTGTTTGTGTGTGTATGTGTGTGCGCATACTTGGGGCTGTCTCTCTTGCCGTGTTGTGTGCGTCGCGGTGGCAGAAGCGGCAGATGGAGCAGATGTTGATGTCAAGGCTCGCCGTGTTCTTGCTTCGCCCACACAGCATCTCGTCAGACATACTGCCTCCTGCTCAATCCTCATCTCCCAATGCCACACCACCTTCAACCAGAACAGAGTTGAAGTTAATGTGGATCAAACTGACAGAGTTGTCTAGAGTTAATGTCCATAAATTAAATGTTGTTCAGAAAGATCACCTATATACCATTATGACCAGATTAAATTATGAGACCAAAACACTGGCCTACATTATGTGATAGTGTAATGCCAAGTAAATCTATTGCTCAAGGTCCTATATTACTAAAAATTGACTCTTGTGAGGTTTTAGTCATGGTAGATCATTGTTACGTGATGAAAATCATACTGTTTTTGTTTCATTCACACATGTTTGAGTAACCTTTTATTATTGTCTATCTACATCTCCAAAGCCAAAAATGCTCTACAAACAAATGATCTAGATGTCATGACGTGGTAGTTTTAAAGTTAACAACTATATTTTACCTTTCTGTTCAGTAGAGATTTACAATTCCAGGATTTAAATTATTTAAATGATTCTAGTGAAGGTATATAGAGTTTTAAACACAGTGGAGTACTTCTTGTATTACCACATGAAATCATAAGGTGGAACAGAGAAAAATTAAATATGCAGGGTTTGTGTGTTAAATTTGTGTGAATGAAACAAAACACAACTCCAGTTATGTTTTTGATCAGAAAACAACATTATAACATATATCTGAAATTAACATAATATGGGCCCTTTAATATAGCATATATTAGTAAAATAATTCAAATTGACCTTATTAAATTTATTATCTTTGAAGCAACAAAAAATAGTCTTGTGATGCATTTACATAAGCATCCCAAAACTTGGTTCCCAACTCTAGCTTAGTCATTGTGTCCTTGGGCAAGACACTTCACCCTCATTGCTTATGCAAATGTTGTATTAGGGAAAGTATTGGCTGTGTACCACATGGCAAGATGTTTTCATAACATTAATTTCAGAGGAATAAAGAACAGTTTGAGCGCTATTGCTGCTGTGCCTCTTTTCCAATAATTTTTGTAGGATTTTACTTTCTAATTTGCACAAACTGCATTTTTGATGATCTCACCCTCTGACCATTCAAAGCTCTAAAGACCCCCCTGCAATCTCTGTTATTTTGAAAATACTAGTCCAAACATGATCAATGTAATACCTCTTCTCTGTCAGCATCATATTGATTTTTAACTTTGCTGCTAAAATTGGAAAACGCGTCTCCTATATCTCTGCTCTTTGTTGTTATATTGTATCCACTAACACACACTGTCCCCCTGCTTCTCTCTGTCCTCATTCCCTCTAGTCATTATTATTTCTGGGCTGTGATTAGCAGAGGTGAACCCATCAACACAAGAGGTTACCGTGGCAACCAGGTCTATGGCAGTGAGAAAGGGCGAGGGGAGAAGAGGGGGGAAGAGGAGGAGGAGGGGCCTCTCTGAGGCGTGTGTGTCCGTGTATATGTGTGTATGTTCACCCTGTTGCTCACGCACAGCTGCTGCCCAAGTCGTGACTGGATATAGATGCTCCGAATTAAAGGGACTCTCACTCACCAACCTCAATCCAAAAAAACTCAGAATTGCAAAAATATACATCATAACCTATAGCATATGCATTAACTTTATTGTAAATTATGGTTTATGACCATTTGACCGAGAATATTTTATTCTGAATCACATTTTATTAGGAAGAAATTAGGTCAAATTTATCGCAATATTGTCTTTGAAGAAATTAAATTAAACAGATGAATAGACCTATTCTATTAAAGCCTAGTACAAAAAACACATTTTGTATTGACTTCAGTCAGTGTCATGACCTTTGCCAAGTCTTAGCAGAGGTGTAGTGGTCTTTTAGTTGTATTTTCTTTCACTGAGCCATACTGCTGAATATCAATCAGAAATCTGGATCACTACCAGTCACAAAAATATCTTATAAATGTCCAATATCGTCTCATCTCGGTAGCTAAGCAAGGCTGAGACTGGTTGGTACTTGGATGAGAAACCACTGGAGATGTGTGGTAGCAGTGGCTTTATTAGAAACTGCTGAAGTGTCATAGGCATGACACTTCCCTACATTGCTTAATATAGATGTTGTGTGTGTGCGTGTGCGTGTGTGAATGTTGGTCAGAGGGGCCAATGGCACAGATTGTCAGTCTTGCTTCCATTAGTCTACCACAGGGCAGCTGTGACTACAGTAGTAACTCAATACCATAGAGCGTGCAGTGTTTCGATTCCCAAATGATTTTTGGCTAAACTGCTAAGTTCTGAATGTGTTGAATCAAATTATACACCAAAAGGAAGTATGAAGTTCTTTACATACAGTACATACCTGTAAGGTCTTTTCCCTCTCACATGGTGAAGGGAGTGTGTTGTTTGATGTCAGTACGCAAAGATCAGAGGCTGCATTCTGTGCACACCCACCCTCTTTGTGCTTTCACGTGTTGCCAAAGCAAACACTTAAATCCATGCCTATTTTCTGCAGGCCGTCACAGGTGGAGCAATGGAAGCAACTCTGTTTTAGAGCTCCATCCCCAGCAGCCTGCTGTGCTCTCGGGGCACACAAGTTTCCAACGCTGCTGACCACAAAGCACTTTCCGCTCACTTCAGCGCAGAGCAACTGTCGACAAATCAGCGAGACTGAAATAACCATCTCTAGGGTTACTTACTGCCTTGGGATTATGGTTGGGATTTGCAATACAACTTCACACTCCCTAAAGCCCACCTGTTGACCTAACTTATTAGCAAGCAACACTGCTAATGTGAGGAGCATTTATTATTATTATTATTATTTGGTGGTGGAAACAAAAATAACCCCTATAGGAGAGTAAAATTAAGCAAAATTTTCTTGTGTGCCAATATACAAAAGACCTGTCTTTTGTATTACATTACATTACATTGTATTACTTTTTGTACTACATATAATGAAAAGTAAAAACATGATGTTTACAATGTTCAAAATATCTGAACAACCTATAGGAGACTGAATATTGAGCTATTATAGATCTCTTGCATGTTTTTTGCTTCAGCTACCCCACAGGGACACAGACCATTGACTGTATATGTGTCTGGGCAGCCGAAATTGAGTCATAGGCAGGGAACAATAATGTAAGCCTATTAAACTTCGCAATATGTAATGCCCATAGAAAAATTATGGTTGTTGACAATTATTGTGTGATGATAATTTATTTAATTTTTTTTAATGATTCATTTAGGGATCCAAACACAAAAGGATTTAGTTTCTGCTGGCTGAACACCCACTGCATTTTTATTTTATTTTTTTGCAGTATTAGTACTCTTTCCCTCACAGACCTATATTAATGCTATGTTACATATAATTAATTATAAGCAATAACAGAACATACCTCAGGTCAGTGCTGTCCGTTTTGAAAGATTTCACAGTGACATAACTACAGTGGTCTGTCAGGACCGTGGTCTTCATAGCGTCAGGGTTCATCAGTGTCACATCAGCACAGCTCTTCTAGTCTGTGGTTGCAGGTGCTTGTTATTATTACAGTGATGGTGTCATGGTAAATTTGCAGCCAGACTGTGGTGCCATATTAAACAGCAGTGTCTTCCCAGAATGCATCTGACTCATCTGACATTTTGTAGAGGACCTGGTCTTACAGCCGACAGCGATTTCCCTCTCTCAGCAGCATCCCTCCATCCATCTGTGTCTTCAGCTCTAATTCAAGGTTACCACTTCTGCGACATCTGTCAGACTTTTTTACCTCAAACTCCTGTTATTCACCGCCACAGTGACATTTCCTTCTTTTAAAACATTCATAAGGTCAATCTCAATCAATTATGAGCACAGCGTGTTCACTTACAGTGGTCAAATGAATGTGTCACTTCAAGAGCGGGGTCAAAAATATGAATGATAAAGATGGGGAGCCCAAGTATAGGCCCGCAGCTGCACTGGCATAGTCTCTATTTGTTGAATATAAAGATTGTGAAGCTTTCGTCAGATAGCTAGTGGACCACTTCAGAATACCTCTTAGCTATAGGCTTACGGATGGATCTTATGGATCTGATTTCTATAAATATCCCAAGTTAGTAATAAAACTGCTAAAAATCTTAGCCAGCTCAGCAATAACTTTAAGGTCAGTATAGCACATAATTTAGTCCTGATTATTCTAACCAACTGGCGAGTACTACAGTAAGATTGTGGACAGTCACAAAGTCCATCGATCAATGAAAGAAAGAGGAAAATTCAACAGGTGTTTTTCACTCTCATTCATTTCACCTCACCAGCAGTTTGACGATTGCGCCGTGGGTTTTGTAAAGCACTGGTCTAGCTGCACGGTGGTAGCCATATTAACTGGATTTTAACCATGTGACCATGTGTAGGCTAATTTAGCTTTGCAAACGCACAATAACTACATGCCTACTGCAGGCAACATTATAGTGCTTACGTTATAACAAAAAATTTAGCCTACATTTAAAATATACTGTTTATTCTATTTATTGAACCTAATAGTAAGAATTAGGAAGAATAAAGGCCACTGATGAGATTGTCTCCTCTTCTTTCCTATACCTTTTTATACAGTCAATGGTGTGGGCACGCAGAGGCTCCGCCCCCTTCCTCCTAGTGGCTTTGCGCGCTCCTCTCTCACCGAAACAGCGCTGCCTGTGCCTGCACACGCCGCTCAGCTCAGCCCACAGCACCGATGCACCGATGGCTCCTGTTTCTGGAGACTTCCTCATAATGCTTCAGACTGTTGAGCTAATTTTCTCTGCACGAGGCCCTTTGCCCTCCTCTTGACCGTGTGGAGGCCGATAGTGTAGACGCGGACACTCCGGAGATAGATGCCCAGAGTTTTAAACGCGCACGCCGGATGGATGTTGCCGGGCTGAGCTCCATCTTATTTCCTATTGAGTCCGCTGGTGAGTTGTGTTTCACTTTGAGTCTATTATTAAAGCGACATCTGAAATATTACATGATCTCTTATATTGGCTATATTATGTCTGTTCCGGTGTTTTGCAGCATATGGTTTGAAGCCTGTATATAATAAAAAACAGTCATTTGCCCATAAGATTTTTCTGAAAACCTACCTACACCTTTACCCAACTTATTAACACACGCACCTTTTGACGTCACGCGTACGAGGACGAGCAGCAGAGGCGCGCACCCAGATTCCCACTGCCAGCGTAATTCACGGCTTAAGCATCAATTATTAAACAGGGCTTATTCACCAAAGCCTCACGTTTTCGCTCCGTTGGCCCCAAAATTACTCCAGACTTCAAAATTATATACCACAATTAAAAGTTTATTACCACATAAAGAGAATAAAGTTTCTTCCAAAGAAAATTAATGACTATTAGAGAGCGTTATGTGTCCATAAGTTCCAATAATAAGCACTTGAAACAATACAATGCTGTTAGAAATTCACAGCGTGTAGCTCCAATTATACATAATAATAAGGCTGTCTGATTAGATTATGAGCAGGGTATCATCTCCCCTTTTTGTGAGGCTGTCCATTTGAAGGAATAATTGCTGTTTGTCTTTTAAGAGATGTAGGCCTTTAAAAACTGTGGGTTCAAAATGATGGTCCAGTCTTTTGTATAGTTTGTGAAAGTGTCTATTCTGCGTAGGGTCATAATAAACTACTGTCATTTCTGTCTCACATCAAGTTGGTAAAGACATTTTTATAGATGGAACTGACTGACAAAAAATAAATAACAAAGACAGCTCTTCCTTTTTACCCCCTGCAGCTTCATGTAGTTACTCATTAACTTAATTCAATACAGTTCAGTAACCAACATTGAAGCACTGTTCAGTTAACCCATAAAAAGAGACATTTGCATTGATGCTGAAATGTGAAGCACGATACAATTTGTGATCACAATAACTGGGCCCATGTAAATATGCCATAATCTTGGATACATGATCAAAAAGAACATTCGTAATACTAAATCAGAATGCTCAATACTTATACATTGTTGCAGTCCCCTCGAAAGTAGTTATATAACAGTGTAATGGTAAATACTGATACACTGAATAGATTTTATGCCAAATGGTATTGACAGAATAAAATATTAAATCTTAGAATGACAAATTAGATGGCATTGTATATCTGAGGCATCTTTGGAATGCTGTTTCTGAAGTCTGAAGTCTTCTCAACCTTACCAGATCCGGTGACCACGTACTTCCACTAAGTGTTACAGTTTTGAGTGCTCTAGGTATCCTGTTGAGTGTGTCAGATTTCTAATTTGTATCAGCAGTTGTTCAGCAATGCCCCACTGACCGAACTGGAGAGAATCTAAACTGTGTGGGATGTGAGATGGGACCACCTGTTGATAGAGGAGCCTTGTATAACACAGAATCAGACAAAGATTATGGCCATCTTGTGTTAATCAGAAATAGGCCCCTTTGTAAAATCTTGCCAGACAACTTGCTAAGGGGTCAAGGACACAAGTTGGCTGTTGTGTTTGTGCCAAAGGTAGGCATAATAAAATCCATCATGCCTCTAGAAAATGCATGGCCTGTTGCTTAGGTAACAGCTAACTGATACGTAGGACTGTATGGAAGGAGAGATGAGGGAGCGGATGTACCACAACACTGGGCTTTGGTGAGTTATTTTTACCTTGGACTGGGCAGTAATAGTGAGGAGCTTAAATAGTGGAGGTGGCTCAAATATGCACTGACAAAAAGTTAAGGAAAAATGACTGCCGTTGTAGCTCACAGTTGATTGATTCGTTTTAGTTTGAGTTTGTGCTAAGAAAATGCATAATTTACATACTACATATACATACATTATATCACACTTCTTGTATGTCCATTGTGACTATTGTATGTAATGGAAAGGTTACAGGTTGTTAAATGTGTTTTAACACTGAATGAAATGTAAGTTAGCACTCATCCCTGGTAGGGTTTCAAACAGTCAGTACTAATTGATACTAAAACTTTTAGTGAAACTAGATAGTTATTTGACCAAGTATTGGCTATTGACAAAGTTCAACTTTCTTTAATAGAATGGAATGATCTTCACCTATATCAGAGCTATTATAAAATCTTATTGTAATTATAAAGGAAATAGTAATATTTTAATATTATGTGTCATATTATTAATATTTTGTGTTTTAGAAATTATATCAAGTACCAAGCATTGCACTTGATATTGAAATCCAAGTTTTAAATGATAGTATGGTGACACTAGACCCTGGAGTAATGTAAGGCTAACAGTGAGTTTTCATACCCCAGTCTGCTGTAATTGTTGTCTTATCTCTGCTGGCGACAGTGTGAGAAGAGGGGATTAAGCAGCACTGTAACATGAGGATCACAGTCTTTTGCAAAACAAAGCACTATACTTGTGACACAGAATACAATGTGCTGCTGGATTTGAATTAAACCTATCACTTTTCATTATGACATGAGTAAAACAATAGGGGAAAGGCTTTTAGGAAAAGCAGTTGACCTGTAATTATTGGTGGCTGGTTGGATGTGTAGAGGTTTCTGGTCCAAGGAGCCGTGCGGATGATGACGCATGAGTGTAGCGGAAGTATGAAGCGCCCCGAGCAGAGATAACAAACGGCATCGGCTCAGGAGGCCATTTTCATCAGCACTCCCACCAATGCAGCACACACCCCCAAACGCCATACCACCTTCATTTCATATAATCTAATATTCAGCACTCACACTAGGGCTGTAGTCATTTAGTCGTTCAGTTGATTAATCGGTTGATGGTGTCTTGGTCAATCAGTGGTATTCATTGAGAATATAACTATGCACAGCAAAAAGGAGAAGGCATGAATCGGCTGGAGTTTTGAGAGTGACTAGAGCTGCCTTTTCATTTATGAAGATATTAGTAGGCCTGTCACAATAATACTTTTTGAAGTATGATACATTGCAGAAGAAAATATAGATGATAAACAGTAATACTGGAAAAAAAAAACATTATCCCTAAAATAGCATTCTAAACAATATATAGAATGCAAGAGTTTATTGTATTTTATTTATTTATTTGGTTTATTTAACAGGGACAGTGTACATTAATTAACATTTCTGTAAATGTAATTTACAGAATTAGCCAGAGAGGCTATTTTTCATCTGTACTCCCTGGACAGAGGGTAAACATGGTCACCCTAAAAACACAACAATAAGAATTATACGAAAAAGTGCAATTGTGTACTTAAATGTGAGTTAAGTAGTTTGTATCTATAATGAGTCATATAAGATCATAATTCAACCTTCTACACTTCAAATCATATTATAATACAGAGAAAAAGTCCCTACAATATATTGACTCCCAAAAATTATCGTTTCATTTATCTTGTATTGAAAGATAACTCCATAGAGTAATTATTGTGACAGGCCTGGGTATTAATACTTCTATTTATAGATTGTTGCTATTGGACATGATTCAACATTTTTTAAAGCTTTTTAGTCAATTAATCAATGAACAGGGCATGTGTTTAGTCAACAGAATTTATTTTTTCGACAACAGCCCTGTTTAGTGCTCATGTTACTGCTCAAATAGACAATTACTGACACAGTGCTACATGCTGGTTTAGTTATTTCTCCCAAGATGACAGCGGAAATTAAGTTTGAAATTGTTTTATGATAGGTTGATTTGTGATAGTGTATAATAATTCATATCTGGCTTTTTGTTGTGATCCAGAGCAGTATTAGCAGCTGGAAGAACAAACTGATAGCTGTGATGTGCATGTGTGGACCATGGATGAGCTGAGGAAAGTGTATGCCTCCAGGGGTCAGGGGTCACATGACTGCACACAAACGTACACTACACACAGGCTCCCCTATAGAGAGCACTGAAAAGACCTGATGAATACTGAGTGGAAACTGTGCTCAACATCAGTGAACCATTTTAAATATTCAGCTGTTCAACGACCTACTCTTATTGTTGTGTTCTCATTCACAAGCTCAGACAGCACTTAAAAGACTTAAATTATGTATAGTATTAACATTTAACTATTAAAGCAGACCTATTATGCAAAATCAACTTTTCAGGGCTTTATATGGGCTTTATATGTTATAGTTGTTCACCTCGCGCAAAGTTACATTTGAAGTTTTATGTGAAAGCTTGTACATGTTTATTTGTTTATTTTCAAGATGCCATTTTGCAGATGAACTCCCTTTTTCACCGCTACTGTGCTGTACTTGCTCTTGCTGTGATCCACTGGTGTCATAGTTTATAACTATATAGTAGACTCAAACTCAAAGGTCTTCTTTAAGTATTATTTTGTTTTTGTATCTAAAGCTTCTTTAACCCTACCAGAAATTTTACCAAGCAATAAGGTAAAAACAAATCGTGAAAAGAATACATAGATAATGCCATTATACAGAAGCCTGTGCCTTAACTTGTAAATGACATGTGTGAAATGGTGAATGAAAGGAGACTTACAACTGTTATTGTTAACATTTATGATTGATGGTGATTTATTATGGTATGAAGGTCATTTGGTCAACAGCTGACAAATGTTCACTGTAAAAAATCCACAACACAAAACTGTAGTAGGCCTTCAAACCCTTCCACAACTTAGAGTTCCCCCAGCTGTGCCAAAATTACACATTTAACTGGGCTGCCTACAAAAAAAAAAAAAAAAAAATCCAGTGAAGGGCTATAAGAAAGCCTGAATTTTCAGCTAAAGCTTTTTGTCTGTCTATCAGGTCTGCTGGAGTTACTCTTCCTGCTCTGTTTGTTAGTATACGCTAGTATTAAACAGTGAAATGTGTTTGTGTTTCAGGAGCGGTCTGGCCGATTCAGCTATGTCTGTGAAGATTGTCCTCTGAATATTTTCCACTGTTTTGGTGCTGTTCCACTCAGTCCAAATGGGTTCACGCAGCCAAGGCTTCCTCCATCACCATCATCACCACCACCGCAGCTCCATGGTTCCCACCACGGTTCCCCGGCTGCTGCCTGAGAGTGGCAGCCTGCTGGGGGGCATTGCCCAGATCACGCCCAACCTGTTCCTTAGTCGGGGCAATGTGGCATCTAACCGCAGCCTACTCCTGTCCAAAGGCATCACCTGTGTGGTCAACGCCACCATTGAGCTGCCCAACTTCAACTGGCCTCACATGGAGTATGTCAAGGTGCCATTGGCAGACATGCCTCACTCTCCCATCTCTCTGTACTTCGACAGCGTGGCCGATAAGATCCACAGCGTCGGCCGTAAGAGGGGAGCCGTGCTTGTGCACTGTGCAGCTGGAGTGAGCCGCTCGGCCTCGCTGTGTTTGGCTTACCTCATGAAATACCACCGCGTGTCTCTGGCAGAAGCCCATGCCTGGGTCAAAGCCCGCCGGCCCGTTATACGACCAAACGGGGGCTTCTGGAGGCAGCTCATTGAGTATGAGCGTAAACTATTCGGCAGGAACTCAGTGAAGATGGTTCAGACTCCCTATGGGGTCATCCCAGATGTGTATGAGAGGGACCGCAGGAGCTTGGCCCCCTACTGGGGCCTGTGAGTCATGACAGTGACAAGAGATGAGAGATCTCTGAGAAGCTTCTGTATGAATACAGAGCTTCAACTGAAAGGATTTCGCCTGTTTGATTTGAAGCTGCCAGTTCCACCTGGAGTTGCACCTGATGCAGGACAATCCTCACAAATAAAGTGAAGGTGAAACAGGTGACCCCAGAGTCTGAAGAGAGACATTTTGTGACTGCAGTTCTGTGGCTGACGTGCGTCATGTGCTGGTATTGTACCTGTATACGTGTGAAGAGCAGCTGCATGCTCTCAGTCTATGGTAGCATAGTGTACAGAAAAATATAGAGAAATTATTTTATCAAAACAAGATTATAGCACAAAAAAGTGATTCTTCTGAAGCCTTTGAAATTGTGAGTGTAATCTTGTTTGTTTTTGGAGGTTCCTGTACACCACAGCGAGGAAGCTTTCATCTTTTGACCACTATTATGGTGAGCTCTTTGATGCTGTTGTACTCACTCAAAGGCACCAGGAGTTTGTCTATTATTCACTGAACTCCTGAGATTCAATGCAGACAGTATAGCAGAGTACTTTGCTGCCAGTGTTATACATACAAACTAGACATAAATACTGCTATCAATACACAATTATTTAATTGTAATTATGTACTAATATACTGCAGATCAAGAAAAAGTTATATGTAAATTGATTATGTGAGTTAACTTCAACAAACTTAGTGTATGCAGTGGTCAGCTATACAATTCAAAGTTGCTTTTTGCCAGAAACTATCCTGTATGTTAGGATGACCTTACTGTAGCACCACATTTAATGCCCAACAAATATAAATAAAGCAAATTGTATCATTGTATTATTCAGTGTGTCAAGGTGATATGAAGAAAATACCAGTATAAATCTCTTTTACCACAAAGACGGGGCAACACAGACATACAGAATTAACGGTCCCAAATTATAGACTGCACCCCAATTTCCCACAGCAAACCTGCCCCCTCCCTCTGCCCCTGCCCTTCATCTGTACTGAGTTAATGTGGGTACATAGTGGAGGCTCAGGGCATCGTGAGCACTAACGCAAACACATCCTTCACCGGTAGCGAGATATTATCATTTGTCATTAAAGTAGTTCATGATCTTGAACAGCAGAAATCAAGCAGAACCAATGGTCCTGATGAAGCTAGACAAGGCACAAGTGAGCATCCAATTTCTGCCCATTTTGTCTAAAAGCAGTAATGGATTGCAGTAGCACCTTTCATTTTAAGTTAGATTTTTTTCACGCTCCAAAAGCTATTGGCAAACGTCATTGTAAATCTTAATCTTGTGCAAAGACGAACATCTGTGCTGGTATTACAAACTACTAAATCACCATAGAGACATGTCCAATCCACAATATTCTGTAAGGCTGCCTTTCATTTGAATGACAATAAAGCCCAAATTGTCGTTTTAACATGGCCATATGTGCAATACGTGGTTGGTTATTAAAATAACTCATTAGAGAGAGATTGAACAAAGTAATTTATCCACATGCACAGAAGCTTGAACTGTTGGATAGAATCCAAACATGCATTTTTAGAATTTTGTCTCAAGAGATATAGATGAAAGCACAGTCCGTATGGTGGGGGCTGCTGTGCCAATGCCAGCAGTAAGGAGAGTTTCACTGACAGAAAAAATGAGGTATGTTAGATTTTGATTTTGATGTGTTCAAATTGAGAGGTGTAGCTGTCAGGTGGAGGGTCAAGGGAAAATTCTGTCATTATTTGTGCTATACTAAAGTAAGTTTCAGCAGAGTGTAACAGTGAGTCATACATAGATTTAGTTGGGAAAGCTGTGGTGTGTTAAAATGTGAGAACCCAAGTCAAGGCCATTCATCTTTTCCCCATTCTTAGTTTCATCTGCATCAGACTGGGATTTAGAAGAAAAGTTAAAAACACACATTTCATTAAAGGACTCTGACAGCAAGACAAATTTGCTTTTTCTTTTTTTTGCTTTTTTTTTGGAGGGGGTTCACTCATATGACTGGAGAGAGAAATTTGTGTGTCTTGCCCAACCTCCCTTGCAGCATCCTACACCACTGCTACAGCAGATTGCATTAAAGTAAGATTTTAAGCGAACATTCTCTCAAAAAATGAAATTTTCTTTTCCCACCAAAGAAAAACTGTTGAATCTTAGCATAAAATTGCTTCTGTTTAAAGTCAATAACATGATAAAGCCAAATAATCCAGTGCATTAGAGTCTCACCACAGTATCTCGAAGTGATGGTTTGAGCAGCGTCACAGACAATAGCTGTGAAGATGACAGGCGCAGACAGAAGAGACTCTCGGCTGCATTTCAAATCACACAGCCTTATTCAGCAATTGATTGTAATTTTGTGTAATCCCATGTTCGGCATGAGAGGAGAGGAATTCATTTTCAGCAGGAAATGAATTAGTGCGGGGCGAGAGATAAAATGGATGTTGGTGACTGCACCTGAACACAGGAGTTAGAGTGATAATGAGATGGTTTCACACAGCCTCTAGACGTCTTGTTTGATTGGCTGAGTTCAAAGTGCCAGTGATGGTCTAGGCAGCGAGCTGAGTGAAGCAGTTTCAAGCAAAATTATAGAGACATGACATTTTTGGTATGTATGTGGGGTAACTGTAGAAAGATATAAAATGATATCAATAAAATTTGAAAGAAACAAACACAAGAGAATCCGTCCAATGTGTTTTTTATGTACACATGGCAAATAAACCGACCCAACTAACCTAACTGAAAATCATGATTCGGGCTCAACATAAGTATGTATGTATGTATGTTTATATATATATATATATATATGGGAGGACCTGAGCTGGATGAGAGGGAGACCAGCCACCGTGGAAGGTGAGGAGCACTTTTTTTTAAATGTGTGTGTGTGTGTATATATATATATATACATACACACACACATATGTATGTATATATATATATATATATATATAAAGTGTGTGTTTATGTATATCATCTCCTAGAAGACAAGAAAATGGTGCCATCCTCACCTGAAAATTTTCATCGTGCACCTTTAAAATAGATCTTTGTTCTTTTTGAAACACGGTTTAATAAGTCATACTAATATAAACTAAATTCAAATGGGATAAAGTCCATTACTTTAATTCACATTACAACAAATGATTTTACAAGGCTACAGCATGTCACAGAGTAAATATATACAAAAAGTGCTGCTGCCATTATACAATCACAGTCCACACACAAAACATTCCCTTCACCAACTTCTTGAAGCTAAAATTCCCAAACAGTGCAAAGACAATAAAAACCAAAATTTAAACATAATTCATAAGACAGATATTTCCTATATAATCCAGCAGTGATGTTTTCATTTTCAAGACTGAAGGTGAAGTGAAACAAGTTTCAAGTACAGTATAATAGAGTTCATGTAATAATTTAACTTAACAATGAATACATGTTATTTAAACAGCAGCCAAACAAGTGAGACAAAAATCTTTATTTTACAGATGTCTTGCTCTTGATACTGGCAGTTTTGTATACTGAGATGATTCAGTGATTTAAATCTGAAATCATTGAGATCACATTATTCTGGAAATGTCAGTGGCCGACCTAGAATCCTGCAGGGAAGAGTAAAGAATAGAAGTAATACATAATACTAAATAAGGTCTTACTCACAAATATTCCTTTTTCTAATCCAATTAGCCAGTCAAACTGAATGGGCTCATGATGTGAGCATGTTCAGAGAGTCACAGTTTAAATACAGAGACTCCAGTCAGTCCAAGGTGCAGTGCATCATGGGTATCTGATGATATTGCAGGTTAGCTCAAAGCAGGTCAGGCAGGATGAGGCCTGGAGGTTTGGGCTCCACACAGTTAATCCAGAAGTTGGCACAGCTGGCGTGATACTGGTGACCTCCATACAACAGCTTGAAGTTGTCTGTCTCCGAGTTAAAGGCCTAAAATAAAAGTGGAGACAAAGTAATACAATATAATGAAATCATGTCTATGGCAAAAAATGCAAATAATGTGTGGATTGGTAGTTTTCAAATTCTAGAATTTGATGCTACTCTCAGATGGGGGGGCAAGAGCCAGTTTTCCCTGTTGATTTCATTGAACTTTGAATATGAAATATCTAAAAGGTAAATTCATAAATATTACATCTGATAATTTCTATTAGTGACTAGACCCTTGCTGTATTAAAAGAGAAACTGTATTTTAACACTATAAATTTTAGCTGCCCCCATCTGTATTAAATGTTTTTGTCCAATAGAATGTCATCTAAAACCCTGTAACTGATCACCATGTTAATTTTCACAATATGTAAATTAGAGTGTACACTAAAGATGTGTTCACTGATGTAGCTACTTTTTTTTTTTTACTTTTCCAGTTCAGGCCACATAAAAAACACAGACAAGATTTCACACTTTTTCCCACTTATTGCACCCATTCACAGGCCTAAGGATAAACATGTCTAAAGCTCTATGTTTCTGCTATAGATGTACACTATAGTTGCTGTTGTTGTTGACAGCTTTAGTTTGCACCGCTGCTGAAATAGTGAAACTGCAGCTGCAAAAACATGACTAATGTGTAGTGAATCACTGGCTCCCACTCACAAGGACATGCACAAAGCAACAACTGCACGTAAAGAGCCCCACACAACATTAAGTCAGACACATCTCCGCCTGCCACAGAGGAATCCACAGCTCAGACACTCCTCAAGGTTTTCTCACAAAATGAATGACACCTTTCCACTTTGCAGTTGGCATTTCCCCCAAATATTTCACCAGTCAAGTCATCACATTCAGACCTGTTTTGTGCCATGGCCTAGTTCAGACTGAACCAAATAAGTTTGCTCTGCCAGACACAATGCAAACATTTAATCATTTAGTCTTGGAACTAACACAAGGATTAAACTGGCTTTGATTGAATAAAACAATATAATACTATACAATTGAAAGCATATCTTTCTAATTCATCAAACCTATAACAATAAATAAAAAAAATGCAAATAATTACCGATAACCTCTTGTCATTGTCTCTATTCAATGCCTGTAAGCAGAAAAGTGGTCAGCTTATGGCCACAGAATCAAGCACTGCAGCAAAAGGTTAAAGGAAAATGATGCAGCAAGCCCAATATTTTCACCAGGAAAGTGGTTCCATCACCAAAAGAATATGTGATATAAAAAAAAACCAACCACCACCAAGTACTCATTCACACACCACATTCACAGTTCATTCATTCAAGGACAACAACAGTATCAACAGAATGTACTGGTCGGAGTGGAGCATTCTATCCAGCGAATACTTAAACATTAGGAAGTGTCTAAAAAACAAAACAAGATATACCAGTACTGAAGTACAGGTGTACTTAGCTGTAAAATTAAAAGAAAAGACAAACATTTGGAAGTTGGAACTCCTCTGTAAATTACTGGAATGATTACGATTTATAGCGCTGTTGAAACAAAAGCCATTAGACTTGACTCCTGTGTGCAACTGGATGAGACATCAACATTTCCCACCTTCAGTACCTTCAGGTTGAAAAACAAATCAGTTCCTTCAATAAATGACAATGCCACAATCAGTGGTGCCTGCTGTAACCATGAGCTGTTTCTGGGCTTTATAATGCTCTGAGGGATGCTATTCTCCACTTCATGCATTTTACCAGCGTAGCTCGGCCAAAAATGTAATTAAAATACGGGTTATTAATCTTGGTGCTAGTGGCTCAGGGACAGAGCTGCCTCTATAAACAGAATGAAAGGTGAGTGGAAATGTGTACAACGTTTATTGCCAGCTGCACCCTCTGCTTATGAGTAATGGTTAAGCCACATCTGCTCCAAACCAAGATACCTCTCTTTCCGCTGCCCTATCCATCTTCAAGAACAGAGTGACCTATCAATGCCACCACCTGCCCTTTCAACTGAGAGGTTTAAACACACAAATTAAGAGGCCAAACACAATCACCAAAGGGACAGAAAAGCAGAGACCGTAATCAGAGGTGTTAATTGAAAATGAGTGTTGGTAGCAGCTACCGTGAGGTGAAAAAAGATGACCCTCGCCCATGACAAAGCTGTAAATGTTTTGACCTTGTGAAACCAACCTCTCAAGTGCAGCACCAAAGTGACTATTCACTCGCATGTACTTGGTTTGACAAACTTTAACTGGACTTAAAACTTTCAGGAAGACTGACTTTGGTCTAGAGTCCAGATTGTGGTGGTGTGTGTGCAGAAGGACAACTGCTGTTCATTAGGGAAGTGCAGCAGAAGTGAATCCTGTCACTTTGGAGTCTGCGGGGCGTGGGCAGGAAGAAAATAGGCCCCAGAGGATCACAGCGGGAATGACTGAAATTAAATTTAGTTGACAGTTTGCTGTCTCATACTCTTTTAAACAGGCGTCCAATAGTGCTTTCCTCTTTGTTCTGTAAAATGTTTCAAAATATTTAAATGAAATTTGAGACAATATCCACTATGTATAAAATTATCAACCATGATGCAAATGTATGAAATGTAAGGATTTATAGATTTAAAAATCATAACGTACCTTACTACGAGCATCAACATTTAGAAGGCACACTCCACAGGCCAGCTCCTTAGCGTTCTTGATGCCAGGTCGCAAAATACAAGACGAAAAATCTAGAGAGGTCTCATCAGGCTGTGGAAAAAGAAAATTTATGGTATGTTAAATTAACAAAATTATATCCAAGACCCAATAAAACAAATTTTATTGATTACACACATACTTTTAACTAAAATTGCAACCTAAATGGAAAAAAGAAATCCACCTGTTACAACAACACCATGTGTTTGCATTTTGCCTCCCTGAGATTTCAAGTCTGTTCACTGAAACAATATTGGCCTCCTCTGCAGCATCGCTGAGCCCCCATCTGTTTGCTTTAGAGACAGCCACAAACAGCTGAATGAATAAATCTATACTGTCCTTGTCATTCTGCCAGATCCGAGCATCAGACCACCACGACATACAGCAACATCCTAACTCAATCAATACACCATTGATTTGAACCTAATGGACCTGCCGTACACTCACTAACATTTCATGAAGTATTTAGTAGACCATTGTCCAAATATCTATGTATTGACATTTGCTTCTGTGTTTCTACATTGATCTCTTGGTGCTATGATTCATATGTGTTGGTTTGTCTCACCGCGAGTTTGGCCAGTGACATGAAGCTTAAGAGGTTATTCCACACTCGGCTGATGTCTTTTAGCAGCTGCTGTAGTTTCTCTGAGCACACTGCCGTGGCTTTGATGCCCAGCTCCACTCGGCGAGTGACGCGATACACCTCCACAACACCTGAAAAAACAAATCACTGTTTACTTGTTGCTTGTCGATACTAATAAAGTTTCTGTTTGAAGATGGAGTGTCTTTAAAACAATAATACTGGAGTAGGACTAGGTCTGACACTTGTTGATATTGGTAGGATATTAGCTATTAATTTGAAGCTCTTTCATAACACTATGCCACACTTTGTTAAATATATTGTCATATGACATAAATTACATATTTCTTACCAAGCAGGTACTCCATGCCTTGAGCAGACTGAATCACCTCAGTGCAGACAGATGAGCTGCTGATGCTGTTGAGTGTGTTGTTAGCTTTGGTGATTACCTATAAGTAAAGAAGAACAACAGGGAAGACTTAAAGCTGTTTAAATTAATCAAAAAGCCAACTATGCAAGTTTCTGGTACAAACCTCCAAAGCACTTTCTAGACATCTCTGCCACTCATATGCATAGCGTTCACTTTCCTGAGAAACAAAGTATTAATCAGAATGACCAAAAAAATCTAACAAAATAACAATAGTGACTACAAATAGTGCAGGTTTGTCTTACCTCCACCTCCCCAGTCAGGTCCTTGTATTTGTCCCTTATAACAGGTAGGGCAGGCTTCTCATTCAAGGTGTTGGATCGATCCCTGAAGTGCTGCTCTGGAGCCGGAGATGGAGGTGAACGCCCAATTTCTTTCTCACCTAAACTGTGACTCCTCTTATGTGAACCTAGGAAGAACCAGGAATTAAACAATTATTCTATGAACACGGTTTGTTTTTGATCAACATTTAAATTGCTAGACCATATTTCTAACTATGTGCTTGTTTGTTTGCAATCATTACAGTCCCACTCTAACATATCCCATCTAACTGAGACAACCAAGGCAGGAGCAAATACTTTAATTGGTGACCAAGTATAATTACCTACAAGCAGAAAATGTGGTGTAAATTATTAATGAGGGCTCACAGACAAATTCTGTCAGAGAAGCAAAACCTGGCAATAAGATACTATAAGGCACTGAGCCCTTTCTATTTCCTCTAAAAGTAACACATTTTTACAGTCCTCCAAAGTGAGACATCATAGCATCCAACCACTGATTCTTTTTCAGAAAATGTATACCCAAGGAAAGACACCTAAAAATAAAATTGACTTGTAATTGTTTGCAAAAATTAATAGGTTGAAGTTTGCCATTACACAGTACATGCACAACATAGTTATCTCAACAGTGCCCTCTACTGTCTGACTGCATTACTGCAGTGCTAATGAACCATATCTGAGGCTAGTTCAGAGCAATATGTATTTTGCAGCAATCAGCTTGAACAGTGTTTTTTGGGTGGGAGGTGGGGGGTGGGACAAGAAGAGGACAATTTATTGTTATCACCATAAAACCTATAAAGTGGTCATATACCTGATTGGTAATGTAAATAGAGTAATAATAATACAAATGACATTTTAAATGATTCAACGAAAGAAAAATAAACTACTAATTACAAAAAATAATAATGCAAATAAAAGCCACAAAAATATAATCTCAAAAATCACACTCACCTTGAACTGAAAGGTCAAATGTCGCGAGCTCGTTTATGATCATCTCCTCACTGGACTTGATTTTAGTTTGAGTGCTCGCTTTGAGAAAGTCTGACTTCCCAAACTTGGGCTTATCTCCTTGAAAAGTTCCAAAATCGTCCAGGGCCTCACTCTGGGTGCTGTCTGAGCCTGTCTCCGTAGCAGCAGCTGGAGAATCAGACTTCTCAGACACAGTGCTGGCAAAGTCCCCAAAATCATCCTCTTCGTCTGCACCATGGTCCCCATTACCAAAATCTGTGAAGGCTGTAAACTTGTCCGAAGAGATGTCCTCAGGAGGAAAAGAGGTGGTAGACTTTCCTAAACAGTTGCTACTGATGTTTTCAGAGCTACCAAAACTCAGCTCTTTTCGGCGTGTGGGGTCAGAAGACGGAAGAGACAACGTATCTAGAGCTTGTGGCTTCCTATCAGTGGAGACACATTCTTCAGACCAGTCATAGTTAGCCAAGGTGCTGAGTGCAGAGGTCTGGAAGTGGTCGAATTTCATGTCATCGCCTTCTGTAATGACAACACAGATATGCAACAAGTGGTTCCTAGAGAAGTGCAGATATGTAGAAGATTAATTAAGTAATGTGAAGTAGTGAAGTTTCTGTCATTATCTTCACATGATTTATATGGGTTCGATGACAACAAATCGAGTTAAGAATTTTAGCCTCAAAGTGTCAGTGATGGTTTTGTGTGACAGAGGGACAGTCATTCATAAAACAGGTATTAATGCCTTTCTTTTGACTGGTGTGGTGCTTAGCCAGGAATACTGAAGTTGCATGAAGAGATCAAATCCAGCTTGTTAATCATTAGCACTGAAATTACTTGTACTGTAATCCGTTAACCCATTGTCTTTTTGAGTGTAATTGATACTGTAATTACTGTAAAATAAAATAAATATATATATATACAGAATGTACAGCCTTAAAGTCTAATATTATGCAAAATTGACTCTTGTGAGCTTTTAGCCATGTTATAATGTTTCTTAATCAAAAACATACCCCAAGTTGTGTTTTGTTTCATTCACACATGTTTAAGTAACCCTTTATTTTTAGGCTGTCTACATCTCCAAAGCTCAAAAATGCTCTGCTCCACCTTGTGATGGCATGTAGTGGTAGTTAACACTGAACTGTCGATCTCTACTGAACAAAAGGTAAAATGTAACATTTTACCTTTTGTTCAGTAGAGATCAACAGTTCCAGGGCTGAAATTATCCAAATGATTTTCGTGAAGGTGTATGGAGTTTAAAAACACAGTGGAGCACTTATTGTATTACCACATGACATCACAGGTGTAACAGGGTGCTTTCTGTTTAAAAGAAGAACTCAGTCAAAATATGCAGAGTCTATGTGTTAAACATGTGTGAATAAAACAAAACACAACTCCAGGTATGATTTTGACAAGGAAAGAACATTAAAACATACCAGAAAATAGCATAATATGGGCTTTTTAAGTCTAGAATAGACTGGTATTAAATAACATAACTTCAGTGGGAATATTTCAAACCTGAGGTGCATTAATGATATACTACTAATGCACTAGAGTGAAGTGAACAATTTTGTCATTGTCTCAAAAGTACTTTCGTAGTAGCACACATACACACACAGACATACACACACCATCCTGCTTAGCTCAGTTTAAGAGGAATTTGTGAAATTGACAAGGACCTACTTCTGTCCCCCATTGTGTTGCTAAATAATTACACAAGTAAGTTTTTTAAAGAAGGACAAAATAAGACGGTACATGTTGCAGCAATTCCAACAGTAATATTTATTACAACAACATGAGAGTTAGAGAGAAAAGCGTCACAAAGTAGTAAAAGAGCTCTATCAATACAAGAGGTTTGTCAAACTAACACTTGAGAAGGTAGGCTTTAGTCATTTAGAGTACAAGGGCATGCAGAGTCTGATAAAAGTAAGAAAACAAACTGTAAAAGGAAATCACAATTGATTTTGGAAATTAGAAGCAGAAACCAGAATGAGAAGGCACATTCACAGCAAGTCGGTTATTCTGGGAAGAAGACAGACTTAGTCTCAATTTTGATTTAAAGAAAGAGAACTGAACATTTGAAAGCCACATTGTGAAGCTCAAGGTAAAGTTTGTTAACCCTTTGAGTGCCTGTCGAATCATGTCTTATTGTACAATATAAGTGACAGTATAAAGCTAGAGACACGTGTTTTCTGAGGAATGATTACTTAATTTCTGTGCTTTGATTGAATTTCATATGTTTTTCAGGCACTCAAAGGGTTACAGGAAACAAAAGGGCAACCCTTCACCAAATGCCAGAGGGCTATTTTTACATCCATGATTCAAAGGTAAAGAAAAACATTACATGAAATAGTGGTCTGTTGCTACAGAGATTGATTGTTAGCAGTCCCAAATGCACAGATGAAAGCAAAGACAAAGTTGTTTCAGATAGAGTAGATTAGACATGTAGATCCTACTTTATAATATGTGACATATCACATGTGTCAAGAAGTCTTATTCATTCCACAATAAAAGTGTATATTCCTGTAATAAAAATACTATTTCATCTTTATACATTTCTCTCTGAATAAAAACTTGCAATACTTTTATGCATAAGCTTGTATTATGTTCTTGTCAATTTCACAAATTGAAAAGGCAGGCATACTGCAGCAAAAAGCAAGGCAGGAAGGGCAATACAGACTTGAACTATGTGTACTAAATGGACAGTTGCAACAAGTGGTAAATCCATGCTGTTATATCGTATCACAGCGAGTAATACTGCCAACGATTAACCTTATGTAGGGTGATAGATGTTTCACTTCAAATGCTCCACTATAAAGGGGTAAGGCCCTACTGTTTGCTGCAGCTGATGAAACTATAAATTAAACACACACTCTGGTCTTAACACTGTTAAGTTCTGTTCAAATAATTTGCTAAACAAAACCATTGTACTACATTGTATGAGCACAGAAATAAGGCATTGAACTTTTGTGTTTTCTCTGATAAAACAATTTGCGTTGTTTAAAGTTACAAACATTTGCATAAAATGAATAATGCTAAAGCCTACTCTGCATGCAGATAGTGTGATGGTTAACAGTTACATGATCAAGTCCTTTGTCAAACACTTGATCTGTTCTTTGAATGAAATATGAAATCATAAAAATGTGCAGGGACGTGCAGCCTTGAGTCCCAATATGTCCTAAATGTTTCTGGTGAAACATGAGCCATGAAAAATTAGGTGTCATGAATAATTGACCACTGGAGAGAAGGGAGCACTGATGAGCACAAGGGAGGGACTTGGAATGGGCACCTCTAAAACACTGCAATTAATGCAATAAACTAAATTTAGAAAGAAGACTGAACAGAGATACATTTAGAGGAAAATCACAAGGTACAATTAGTCAAGTAAAATACCTGAAATACTGGAAAACTAATACTGTTATTAGAGATAGTTGATCAAAATACTGCTTTCTCTACTTCAAAACAGATCTCAAGGGCATCCAAATTGTTGTGCACGCAACAAAGCGTCTGTAAACAGATTATTTCTACACTACTCTTTCAGTAAACAACAACCTTTTCTACCAGATTTGTCATTTGAATGCCAATAAGGTCGCCTTTGTTCATTGGCATTCAGCCCTGCCCCTGTCAGTACCAGTTGACCAGTTAATAATGAGCACACTGCACTGTCGGAGGAGACACAATGTACACAGAGGGGGACTCCAAGACAACACGCTTATCCTCACCACAGACAACAGCATCAACCTCCACTAGAACCTGTGGCTGCCACACATCCATACATTCAACAAATACATAGATCAGGATGTAATTACAGGTGTAATTACAATTAAAAAAGGAAGGTTAAAGAGAATGACTGACTATATCTAAATAAATAGTTAAATAATTCAATAAGTAAATAAATAAATAAATAAATGAATACAAAAATAAATGTGATGAATGATAGAATGAATTGTATGGTCATGTATTTGAAAACTGATATGTTTTAAGTGTCAAAACCTGGGCTTTTTATCTTAACATTTACCATTACCTCCCAAACTAAGAGACACCAAGTCTATGAATGTGTCTGCATGACCAAAGAGTGCCTCACCAGAGCAAGCGCACTAGCTCCTCACCTGTAGCGGGCGGCTGGTGGGAGGAGAGTCCTGGCAGGTCCAAGGAGCTGTCTGACATCACGTGCTTCAAGTCTCCACCCACGTCGTGTTTCAGGTCCAGCTGCACCGACAGTGCGTCCTCAGAGTCGTCCTTTCCCACACTGCTGCCCCCGATGGATGGGAGGTCCAGGGATTTAACAGAGGCACAGTCCTCCTTGGTGTGTTTGAATGCAGCCACTTTGTCCACCAAGGTCTTTTCTGAGGCGCCAAGGGCAGTGCAGAACTTAGAAGCTTGAAAGTCTGCAAAGTCATCATTGTCACTCTTAAGAGAAGAGAAAGAGCCCCCACCACTCTCTTTTGAATCGTCGTAGGTCACACCGCCCTCTAGAGACAACTGTTTGAACACATCATACTTGTTGGAGCCTTGCTGAGACCTAGGGGTCTCTCCCTGAGTCCCTGCACTGTTGTCTTTAGATTCTTTACTAGAGTTACCAAATGCCATAAAGTCTGCAAAGTCATCTTGGGGCACTGTTGAGCTGTTGCCTCCTGCTGCTGCACTCGGGGCAGCCTCAGAAGAAGAACCAAACAGAGCAAAGTCACCAAAGTCATCCGCTCCTCCAGACGAGGGCTTAGACCCACCTGGGAGGAGCACTAAAGAAGGAGGTACAGACACAGGGGGGAATATGCTTGGTTTGGCCTCTGAAGAGCCAGGGGCAGAAGGAGCTATAGAAGAGAACAGGTCCAGGTCGGCCATGTTGAGTGGGTTTTTGGATTGAGGGAGACTAACAGCAGGCTGCTGCTGTGGGAGCTGCTGTAGAGACTGAGAAGTAGGAAACGCAGAGGGGAAAGAAGGCTGAAAGATCTTGGCTTGTTCAGAGGGATCTAGTGGAGAGATGCTGTCCGCGGTTTTAAAGTCTGTGAAGCCATCATCAGCACTGACAGACTTGAAATCTGCAAATCCTTCCCCTGTAAAAAGAAAAAACATCAGTAAATCACAAAACATGAGCATATTTACAATACCTCCAGTGCAGCAGGGCAGAGAACGCAGTCTTTCGGTATCTTCAAAAGTACAGTTTTGTCATTTCGAACACAAAATGTGTGTAGTGATGGCCATAAACCTGACTATGATGCAATTTCACTATAAACGTTTAACAATATTACATAGTTTTTGGTTTCCTTAGATTAACAGACTGAAAATTTTGTTTGAATTTTGCTTGAATGTAGGAACTAACGCTGACATATGTGATCAAAATGCTGTAAAAACACATGCAAACTTCTCAACAATGTAACTTCCCCATAATGGAACAAATGCACATTATCACACAACAAAGGTCCATTTAGAAGGAGGTGATCAGGTTTTGTTTCTATTACAATTCATACACTGGGCAGCGCGTACCAACTGACATAAGATATTCATGTATTGAAATAGAAAATCTGTTCACAGTGCTGACAGAAGAAACAACTAATGGGCTCATTAAGGAGACGAGCCTGACAATGTCAAAGCAAAGGTCACTGCAAACACGACTTACTGGAGCTGTGAAAGCCGTCTCCATCGGAAACTGCTCTAATGAAATAGGTATGGGGAAAACACTGATATGAACACAGCAGACATAAGACTATTCACAATCTACACATGTGTGATATCCAATTCAGCATATTATACAAAATGTAAATCCTACATGATGAGTGACTCATGAATATCTGAGTTATCCCCCTCCAATACTGTCTGCATTAGTGCTCTGTACTTATCTGTGACTGAATTTAAAAATTCAGACTTCTCATCATACATGCAGGGTTCAAAAATTCTTCACAGACATTTTTTCCAACAATAAAAACACCTAATAATAACGAATACAACTAATACTCAAAAAATTCTAACATGTCTTCCTTAAATTAGCTTCATATGATTTATACAAGTGCTTAGACATTGTGTAGAAGCTGCTTACCAACTGGTTTCTTTTCAGCAGTTTGTTCCAGCTGTCGGAACACACTGTATTTGTCTCCACTGTCTGGATATAAATAAACATAAGAATATTAAAACAGACATAGAAGCAAAATGTTTTAAGATAATATAATTTACAACATGCAAACCCCATCACTGTGTTAGACGTGTGAGAACATAATGACCACAGTTGTCATAGGTACCTGAAGAGGGAGGAGTAGGCTCTGCAGGCTGGTCCAAAGACAGCTGCTTGAAGACGGCATATTTATCAGAGGAGGAGGCAGAGCTAGAGCCAGACACAGGAGTCAGTATGGCCGGCATGCTGCAAGAAGAAAATAATGTCATGCGTTATAAGCATAGACTGTACATACAGTATAAATGGACAAGGCTAATGTCATTCACTTTGTATTAGTTTAGTTTATTTATTTAAAGAGACAGGGGTAGGGCACAATTTACATTAACCTTAACAGGAGAGATACATTGTACCAGGTACCAAAGAAAGGTAATCTGTAAAATAAAAGCCTCACATGATGATGGAGCTAAAAGCTAATTATGAGCTAACTATGTCATTATATTACTCATAGTGATATAAACACTGGACCTAGAAATATGATTAAATGTAACAAAAGATGCAAGATACACAGAAGCTAAATAAAAACAATATGGTTAAACCTACATTAGGAAAATATCATTACACAGTAAACAAAAAATGATGACCCAGACCTATTATTATTCAGGCTATAATAATAGAGTTTTTTTTTTTAATGAGATTTCTGTTTAAAAGGCAATACAGCAAACTAATTTCACAGAAAATAACCACTAAAATGTCGAAAATGGTCTGCTATAATAAGAAAACATGGAAAATATAAAATAATGCTGTACCTTATGCAAACCCAATCATATTAAATGGAGCTATAAAACCAGAAGCATGTACCTACCTATTTTGTGGTTGTGATGGGATAGGGGCAAAGCTGCCACTAGACTCCCCCTGGAAATCTGTGAAAGATGAGTCTGCTGTCCCTGGTTTGGGTGCCTCTTGGAAATCTTGAAAATCATCATCATCCGTTTTTGTCACCTGGAAGATTGTTCACAATATTTAAGAAGATGACATCAATAAACTGACAAAATGAATGATCGAGGAGTTACCTGAGCGGGTGGAAAACTGGCAATGAAATTAGTGCTTGTGGGGGCTTGGGCGGGTGTTGCAGGGGCCATGGGCATGACAGATGGGGCAGGTGTGGGCATGGGCATAGACACTGGAGGCTGGCTCATCAGAGCCTGCTGTGGGAGGACTGGGGCCAAGGCCATTGCTAGAGCAGGCAGGTTAGGAACAGGCGGAGACGGAAACTGATTTAGGATTTCCACATTCATTGCTGGGAGGCCACTCTGTCAAAAAGAATATAAAGCAAAGAGGAACATGTTTAATTATACTGGTAAGTAGAACCTCTGTGTCATTTTACAGGACTGAGTTTAATTGCATCCTAAAAGTATACCTGTATATCTGTATAAATGTCAGTAGGAGTCTCTACTTGTTTCTTGTCATTCTAGAATACATGTCTTTTTGCTTTAAGCCTCTAGGTGACCACTCAAATGACAAACACTACATTATTATACTTTTCTTTAAATTATATTTCTTACACTGATGGTGTGTATCAAGAGCTGTCTGAAGGTGTCTACACTCCAGAGGTGGTAACAAAATCTCACTGTGTCAAACTAAACCAATTCATGTAAATATGTACCTATGCTATTGTTTTGCAGAACAGAAAATGCAGGAATGGTGACAGATTCTTGTTTACCTGTGCAACAGCTATGAGAGCAAGTACAGTGTAGAGCTCCTCTTTGGTCAACATTCCTGGTGTTGTGCGGTTGGCCGATGCCCAGATCTGCCCCAGTGCTTCCCGAGGAAGTCCTGATGACATTAGAATGGGATAGAGCTTGGCTGTATCTATCCCAGCTGGAGTCATGGTGAACTCAATAACCTTTTTGAACATTTCTGAGAAAATAAAACAAAGACACATATGGATACAGGCAAAAGCACTTTCGTAGACTCATTTAATTCAATATGTTAAGTATTCAAAATGTTTACCTGGAACAAGGCTGTCGTTGTAAACCCAGGCAGGCAATATTGATGGAATTTGTTCTTGTGGTTGAAACACGCCAACACCTGTTGTGTCACACATAAAAATAAAGATTTATCAAGATATCTGGCATAGCTGTCCAGCGTCACTTTCTTGATGCAGTATTGATTATCTTCAATGTTCTTTTCTGTTTTGAGCAAATAAATCAAAGACAACCATGTTCGCAGTGTCAAGTCAGACACAGAGGAAAGCTACAGAAATACAGTAAAGAACTGTTTAAAAGTGTTGCAGAATGCCAAGCATAATCAAGTTTGGATGAATTGTGAATCAAACTGCTCCACTGCCATGTGCCCAACAGTTAAAGCATATACTGTATGTACATGAAACAAAAGCAGTCATTATGCAGAAAAGGCAGTTCTAGAAAACATAGTTTCATTTGACAGACAATATCACCGCTGTAAGAGACCTAACCAGAGAAGGGTAGGGAGCAGCCACAGAAATGACATCCTTTTACCATCAAAAAGTTAGTGCAGGGCAAGCTTCGATATTAAGTGAGTTTGACAGCAGGAAAACAAGATACAGCCATTAATGGTGAGAGTATAGCAACAGAGAAGGGGATAGGTGGCTGGTCTAATAGAATAGGCACTTCTCTCACCACTTTCTCTACTGGTTTGAGAGGATGAGTCAGCAGCTGGTGCTGACAGGGGGACTTCAGGAGGGCTTTCTGTGCTGAAGATGGAACTCAAGTCCTCATTGGCTGCAGCCCAGTTCCTTGCTTTGGTGCTTGATTGAAACTGGGCTGAAACCTTATTCTTTGGACCCATTTCAGCCAAACTCTGCTTTGACTTAAAGCTAACATGGGCCATCTTATCGCCTGTGAGATCACAGGATGTGAATAGCTTCTCCTCCAAGGATGGGCCTAAAGAGGTGAATGAGGAATAAATTTTTAACAATACGCTTAACAATTTTTGTACAATGCAATTGGTATAACTGTCCCATCAAGATGCACGTAAGAAATTGAGCATCTGCAATAAAAGCAGATGTATCTTAACAATAATAATCCCTCTAAAAATATCTTTGTTGAGTAATTAGGTGGTTGTGAGGGAGGAGGGGTTGAGGCAGAAAAGTTACCTTTTAATGTAGCTTGGGAGCTGGTGCTGACAGCAGAGTGAATTGAAACAGAGTTTTGGGATGGAGGAGAGGAAGAGGACACACCTGTCCTTAAGGAGGGGGTTGGAGGTGGCACTTGGGAGGACAGGTTAGGGTTTAAGGAGGTAAGAGTGGCAGGTCCTTGGACAAAGTCACTGAATTCATCATCGTCATCAGAAAATTCTGTCCTAGAATTAAGGGGTGAAGGCTGCGCAAGGGCCTGAGGGGTGAAATCAGAGGTGGAGGACGTGGAAAAGCAGGGGAAGGAGGCAGGCGTCTCTACAGGACCCTGAAAGTCACTAAACTCATCCTTCTCTTCTGAGAGAGCTGAGGAGAGGGAGTGAGTGGAGACAGATGGATGTGATGACGATGAGTCTGCAAAAATGAAGAAGTGGTGATAATGGCACAACACAGCACATACTATGGAAAACAAATATGGGAATATTGTATATTCTTGTAAGGCAAGGTTGAAATTAATGTCAGATACTAATTGCTCAATATTTTTGATCAACCCCATGTGACGTTCAACATAAAACACAACAGAAATTTGCAAATGCTATTGAGTCTGCTTACAATACTTGTGTATTATACAAAAGTGCTATAGGAAAGTGAACGTGAGTAAATGGTGGTAATAATGTAAAGATACCTGGTTTCTTGTTTTGTGCAGATGGTGTAGGATGCATTTTAGCGTCTCGGCTAAAACCGTCCAGGTTGCCTTTTATTGCCTCCAAGGCATCATCACGGCTTTTCTCTCCTGTCTGAGACTAAAATAACACTGTAACTATCACAGAACATTGGGAGAAAGACATTAGATTAGACAAAGTGGATTTTGAGAGAGTCTAACCTTGGGTTTAACACTACTCAACAGCCTTAGCTTCTGTTTTTGCTCCTCAAACTGTCGTCTTTTCCTGTCCTCTTCCAACAACTTTTGCTGCTGTTCAAGACGTTTTCTGGGAAAAGAAATACACATTTATGAAGTATGTTATTAAATTACACTATAACAATAGTGTCACAATCTCTTACTGATGTTCCTCAGCCATTTGTTTTTGAATATCTGCGGTATACTGTGGCCCTGCCGGTCGCATGCCCATAAACTGAGGTTGACCCATGAACTGCATTCCAGGTGCCTGCATCCCGATGGCCATCCCACCCTGTTTGTTGAATGAGCACATAATGCAGGTGATTTGTACTTAAGCTATCATATTTTATTATTAATAGCTCAAACAATGCAAGATTTGAAGGAATTAAACAACAAATACCAACCTGCATTTGCATGGCACCTGGAGGCATCTGCCCTCCAAAATTCAGTCCCATCATTCCTTGCATGTTGGGCTGCATGACCTGAACTATGGGGAAACCCTGTTGTTGGGGCTGCTGCTGTTGTTGCATGGGCACCATACCTGTAAGAATAGACAATATGGTATGCTAAAGTGTGCTAAATATCATTAATTCAGTCAAACAGGCTGGGACAATATAACAACTTTTTTTTTGTTTTGATGGGTTTGGACTCCATATGAAGTGAAATATGAAAGAGCATTAGAAGAGAGAATGACTCACCCTGTGGTGGACCTAAACCCCCTCCGACTGGAAATGCAAAGCTGAGGAGAAAAAAAGAAAGGCCGTGAGAATGAAATTATGGTGGTAAAACAGATTAGTTATTGATCATTCAAGTAAAATAAAAACAAGCATTGACTTTAATAACATCCAGTTTAAAAAGTAAAATCATATTGACATTAACATATTTGCTATAACTATATTCAATTCAGTAAACATCATAATGCATACTAATGGGGGGCCAGCCCACTCAGGCCTATGGCTATTTGTAAATAAATGTAATGTATTGGAACTGAAACCCTTTAGGCTGAGTTTCTGCTGCATGGACAAATGACTCTGCTAAAGCTGTAACCCAAGTTTATCACAAATACAATAATTCATTGACTACAATATAAACACCATCACTGAAATTCTTATGTTTAAATATAGAAAATTTAGTTCTTCCACTCCTGTATCATGATCATGACTGAAGGGCTTTCTGCTGCCCATAAGACAGGCAGGTTTCAAAGCTTTATCTTGCCCAATACTGGTCATAACTCTGTGGCAAATCACAGGTTGACAAACAGATGAACAGATAAGCAGCACCAGCATCTGAGAAAGCTTGACTGCCAGTGTCAAGGCCTTCTGAGGGACCCATAATCATGCAACTTAAAAATAATAATAATAATAATAATCAAAAGATAAAGTGAATTTAGTGAATTTACCCTATGGTATAATAATACATAGATAAAAAAATATAACAAGCATTCAACAGCGATTCACAAAAGATATAGCTTACTTCAAATGTTTACCAATTCATGTGACACTCTAAGCCTAGGTGAAACACAGAACCTAATCTAATAATATGTAATCTGTATGTCTGACACAGTATTGTCAAGAAAATGAAAGAAATATTTTTCCCTTTGCTTTTCTCACTAGTCAATTTCCCCACTAGTATTGGGATCTGTATCTAGTTTAGGTTTCACCTGCTGGATCAGTGTCTTCAGCAAGTCAAGGCACTAGTAACAAGAATACATTCATTATTTATAGGGCCCAAAATCTGTCATGAATGAATTATGAGGTCTCTGTTCATCGACTGCACGGTCTAACTCAGTGTGATGGCTGTACATTTCTTTAAAGTTTCAGATTGTCTGTGAAAAGATTATTTCATACAGAAACGCGTAATACAAAATAAATCATAAAGCAAATGTATGTAATAAAACCCAAGAAAAGAAGACAGTTGACATGACAGAAGACAATCTGCTGTTTTCAGGCCTGCGCATAGTTGCTAGTTATTTACTGTACAGTTCAAGGTAGCAGATCAATTTCACAAATAAAGAACATATATCTAAACCACAATAATGTCTGTTAATTAAACGGCGATCGCTGCTGAAATGTAGACAGAAAACGAAAAGCTGCTTGCTAGCTTCCAACCTAACGCTAGCTTGGACACCTGACAACCAGCCATCTCATCACAGACACCTCCTTCGACTTCAAATAAGTGATATCGGCTTAGTAAGGACCTCCAGAAACCAAGCTGACGGCAAATATTTTATCAGACTTGTGGAATGAATAAACAGATGACAGATTGGAAGACAAAGGCTTTAAATGACCAAAGTACCTGCCACCTCCCCCAGGTCCTGGTCGCAGCGCCATCTTGATCACAGTAATCACTGAATGACGTCAGCCGTGACACTGGCACGGGAAAGCACGTGCGCCCTAAGTTTGGTCTTTCAGGCACTTACTGTAAAATATGGTATTATGTAAAGAGAAACATGATATTTATCTGGAATACACATGTAAAAACAAATCAAATAGACTAAAAACACCAATACAACGACAGAAAGGAAAAATATAATTTGTCTTTCTCGTTTGCCTGGTAGACAAATTTATGGAGGAAAACAGCTGTTGTTGTAGTACTGTTGTTATCCAGCAGAGATCAGTGTTGAACAGATTTTGCCATGGCTTATAAACTTAGTTACAACTGCTGATGAGGGGAGACTTTTTTGCTTGGTTGACCTACAGGAGAAGACTCCCAAAGATATTAAAATATTCCTGTGGTAAGAACCTACAGCATTCTGCAAAAATAGAAATGTGGGTTCCACGCGAACCACATGGAAATTGCTCATGTACAATTTTGGAGACGTTGGCATGTACAGCCTAGCACTACGCATATTATTCATGTGCTTTTTATGATATTGTCTTTTTTCTTGTCCCATGTCTTTTCCTAATAGCCCCAGTAATATTATTACCAGTAGTGGTAGCAAATTGAGACAGGTTTAAATGGTCATCTAAACCTAGTGACCAACATCTTAAGTACTGTTTAGTGCCATTGTAGTTTTTGTGCCATTCAGTTGGCTGTTTCATTGTTAGACCAATGACAAGGTGGAGCAACTAGTAAAAGGCTCTGTAGTCATTGTCTTCACAGGAGTTGCAGTGAAGGATTTACAGCTTAATTACAGTGGAAGATAACTATCCATCACCTGATCTTCCTTTATCATTCCTTGTATCCCGGCTCTTTTGTTTACAAGTAATTTACGGACCAAATACATGACACAAGGAGAAATGCAACCATTTAAGAAATGGCTAAGTTTATTCATTTAAGATCGTTTTAGCTAACATATTAAAAATCTTAATAATTATATATTCAATCATAGATCTATAATATCAATCTTCTTGTTCCAGCTCAGCATTGGGAAAATATTATACAATAGCCTGCATAAATTATAAATGATTTTTTTTTTTTTTTTTTTTTTTTTTTTTTTTTTAACTATGAAGTAACAAACATAATGTTGATGGGCCCAGAATAAAATAAGTTCATAATCCTTGTTACTATTTTGTAATTTCAAACTCTATTTTTATACTAAGGAAAAGAGCACAGTGCCCAATGCCAATTTCAATTATAATAAAAACTAAACTTTTTTAGAGAATAAACTCAATTATATAGTACTTTCTTTAATATTAGCATCTAGTCTTATACTGGGTCTGATATAGACCAATGCCATTCTAGTACTAAGTACTATTAGTTTTAGTACTAATTAGAAGTTGGATATGAGTACATTTGATAAACCCTAGGGCTTTTATGTTATTTATTTGATTATTTTTGTCTCAAATGAAAAGAGTTTGCTATTCTTTTAGAAGTCATTAGAAAATATAACCTACTCCTTTTCACAGGCATTTGAACATTGGTATGAGGCTGCTCCCTGCTGAGTGTACCAGGTTTAGCCGGAGGACACCAGTCACTCGTCCTCTGGTCTTCTGTGGCAGTGCTATGGGCAGCTCCCCGGAGGTCTGGACACAGCTGAACATTAACCAGTGTCTCATTCTAGGTATCCCACTAGTCAACATAAATCATTAACATGTCCAGCATCAACCTGACAGCATCCGCATGACAACATCAGTCTGTCAGGGTTTTTAAAGACCTGTGAGCAAAACGTCAATTTGGACGCAATGTGGACCCTATTATCAAAACCAAGATTCATTCTAAACCATTAAAACATGGAATTATTAAATCTGAATTGTTGTTTTCATACACTCACAAAAGGAAAATGAAATAAATCAGCTACATTTTTTCCAAAATATGTGAATATGACAAAGGAAAACTAAAAGTTAAAAAAGTACATTTAAATTAATTAAAATTAAAAGGAAACTGTGAAAAGAAAAGGCACCCAAGTCTTCTCGAGCCTAATGCCTCCTGATTTCCCTGTAGGTGGGTGATGCAGGTCGAAGGATGCTGAATCTTTCTGTGGAGGCCTGACTGATCTCCATGACTGGGCGGTGCACAACAGAGGACCCCTTGATCCCTGGAGGTGATTGAAGACTCCTGTCACTGCAGCTCCATACATGTGTATGTATTTCTCCATAGAGACTCAGTGTAATTCCAGGTCGGAGTGACCAATTAGCCCTGATGCAGAGTGCCCCCCTGACCCCTGACCCCTGCTGGGTAATCTTATCCATTAACCCTTTGGGCCTCAGCTGGAGTTGATGTAATGTCTTTTATTTTGCTACTGCAAAACACACAGCCACATTCAGCTTCCACTTTCCACATCTTTGTTCTTCTTCTCTGTTCCCTGTGTGTCACCTCGCTCTTCGTGGTGACCTCTCCTATCCTCCAGTGCTATGGCTTTACTGACCTCCCTGTGTCTTATCTCTGTACTGTTACCATTTAATGTGTACTATATGGTTCAGATACAGCGATCAATCACAAGAGGGACAGTGGCTCCATACCTTACAAGCTACCACCAACCAGAGGCCTAAACAGATTTATTACAGGCATGTTACAGCTACTTAAAAAGTTTAATGGTTTTATGGTATGGGTCAGACAATAGCAACAGAGCATAATGGCTGGACCACGCAGTTCAAAAAGCAATTGCAACTACACTTGTGAAGACAGACTGTCTTTAAAAATGAGTAGATTCAGCAATAAATAATTCTTAGTTACATCTACACCATTGGTGTTGAATACGGAATTAACTGCAAATAGGGGCCTCATATAAATGTGCCTTGTTAAGAAATAAATGTTTGATAGACAGCAATGGACTGACAGGTTTATAAAATGTCAAAGGCAGATTACTTGTATAAGCCCTGCTTACACAGTCATCATAAATCAGCTGCTTTATGTTACAGTGCCTGTAATTAATTAATTTCTCTAAAGCATTAATGCTCTCTGTTGCTGTATTGCACAAATCACATAAAATAAAAAATAATGTCTTCAGAAAGTCTAAAGCCCTTTTATTATATATTTTTCCTACTTCCTACTAGGAAGTTTTTCTTCTAGCATACTCAAATTAGTACAATGAATGAAATGAAACAAAACATCCATGGCATTTTAACTTAGGCATTAGGCAAAGTGTTGCTCTCAATTAAATAAAACAACACATTCTGCACTTCTGTTGATGGCTAATAAATACAGCAAACTATTTATTAGCCAGTGGCTTTAAGTAGTGTCCCCAAGAAGCTGCTAATGTAGTTTCACAGCTGACCTAAATGTGACTTTGAAAGGACTTAGGGTTGTATTTTAAGCTTTAACATATGCTAATGAAACTGACAGTTTCCTTTTTTTTTTTTTTTTTTTTTCAAAAAGAGAGGTGCTCAGATCTTTAGAGGCATCCTGGGTCTGAAAATCAAAGGTCTCATTGAAAACCAAATGAAGCAACATCAGTGCAGTACAAGGCCAGCCTCAGCAGGGCTCCAGTGAGGGCCACAGGTCAGCCCAGGGACAGAGAGGGGGGACAGAGTACAGGGCTGGAGTAGGAGAGGCACTCATAACTGAAATGTGCTTTCATTTTATGGACCTACAACAATTATATCCATGAAATGGTGATTACATTCCACACTAGTTTTGATCTATTCATTAAACTTCAGCTACAATGCAGCTGCGGCTCATTCTTCAGCTCTTGTGAGAGATGCCTAACAAACTGCGTATTTCACTCTATCACTGGGAGAAGATTTTACATTCAAACATGAAACAATCTTACAGAGAAATGACAGATCTAACCATTTTGAGAATATTAGTAAAGTTCTTATACATCCCTATTGCAAATTTGATAAGGAAAAACATAACAAAAACAAAAACTATTGAAACTATTAAAATATGCCAGTGAAAGAATGGAGAAAGTAATGAAACTTGACAAATATTTTAGGAAAACAAACATTTACTTGAAATATTAATATTTTCTCAGAAAGTATAAATAACGATTTATGATTGATTTAAATTTTATACAAAAATAATACAATAAGAAATAAATCACTTCCTGTCACACAATTCCAAGTGTCTGATTACATGGCAGTCAGTGTGCCAATAACAGTCACAACAACCAGTACAATAATAAGAGTGACCTAATGTTGAACAGATGAAGGAGTCTTTGGATCCTAGATATGTTTGAGACATGGATGGGTGTGTGTGTGAGTGCTCCTCTTCCTTCACAGTAGATTCCTGTATGATTACACTAGCTGCTGTCATAACAAGGCAGTCTTTGATGCCCCATTCAATATACCAGATAATTAGGATAATGTTTTGGTTTTAAATACTTGTCAATATTTTCATTCTACCCAAGGGGGCATAGTCTAAAGGCCTATGTGGTGTCTTTTCACATTGTAGTTGAAGTGGGAGAGGGGAGGAGTGGAGAGACCTATTTCTAAAATGCACCTGAATGTGTGCACAAACATGAGCCAGAGGTTTCTATGGAAGAGTACGGGACACAGTTAAGGCATGAGTCAAACCTCCCCTAAGGCAAAACTGGTTCATAAACTTTGCAGGTCAACTTTGAGAGGTGAACTCGAAAAATTATCCTTTGGCATAGCTTTTTACACAGTTGCTGGTTTTTGTGTGCTTTTGCGAGAAGCTTTTATCAACTCTGAACATTTGGTAAGGGAATGTACCCCCCTTCATCAAGTTAGACCAAGGAGTTGGTATAAATATTGCATAGTAAATAAGATTGTCAAAGTCCTTTCAATCACAGTATAAACATTCAACAACTTAAAATGAAGCAGTCCAGTAATATAGAGAAACCAAATGTGAAAGAATAACATGGAAGACATAGTTTAGGTCAGTAAAGTCAATCTTTCAAATGCATAATAGGCTATTGTGATTGTCGAACATTTCCACCTGTGTGTGAGGTGACAGAACAGCCAAGGGCATCCATAAAATAGATGCAGTCTTTTTTAGAGTCTCTTTCTCATTTAAAATCAATGTGCTTCAAATTTTCCTTCATTTAGGTCCATTTAAAATTTTTGGTGCTTGCTGTTTTTGTTCCGATGTCACAAAAGCAGGGAAAATTAAAACAAGGAATAGAAAAATGTAATACTGTTATCAGATTGTAGTTGAAGCAAAAAATATATAAAATTTCAATGTCCGTGTTGATCATTGGTGTGCAACAGTCTTTAGGCCATCTTCTAGCTTCCAGGTGAGTCCTTCTTCTTTGCACCATTTTCACTTTGCACATTGCAGTCCTCTCTGTGTTTGTCGACTGACTCATCTTTCAGTTCGGTGCTTGTTGGTTATTACTCGTTGTCATGGGTTACGGCTGCGTGAGGGTGGAAAATGTGCTGCAGTTGCCGGGCACCAGGGAAGTCAGGTGGATGCGCTCACCAAGCTTGAAGTGGACACTGAAAGCAAAAGGGAGGCAAAGATGGCGGGAAAGGTTAACATTTATACAATGTAAAGGATACAGCTGATACTTGTTATAGATAAATTATGTTACAACCATACAAGTCCCCAGAAAAAATAGATCAATTGGCAAAATAAGATAAAAGCTAAAGATGAAGTACATGTATTATTATGTAGTATCCAAAATGATGAATTTCTAACCAACAAAATACAATAGTATAGACCATGAGGCCTCCCAGCAAGCACCTGACAAATGAAACCTATGTCAATACAGCCCTGCACCTTCTCATGTGCCACACCTGACCAAATAAATTCCCCATCCTTCTTCTGCTGACTGTGGAAATCCTGGTTTCAATTGAAGTACTCTCTTTTTTTTTTGTAAATTTGTTTGTGGAATTTATTTTTCTCCCTCTCCAAGAGGTGGGGGCATGTGACCCAGGTGTGACCCCATGACCAACAAACAGTCTCACCTGATAAAGCTGGCCTACGGGACGGGTACAACCTGAGTCATTACACATTGGGGTATAACAGAGGTCTCTAGGTAAATAGTGAGTGTTATAAAGCCTAAGCATGCTGTTGTGTCATACCAACAGGTTCTCCCAATTGAAGTTAAGCTCTGATAAGAAAAGTTAGGAGACTACTCCAAACAGAAGGTGAAAAGTCAGGGGGACACAGCACAGCATTTGAAAAGTTTTACAGATGTCTTTGGTTAGTTAATTAGAATTACTTTTTGTATTAATTCAGTGAATTAAAGTTAAAAATTAAAAATAAATATTTAAGATTTTATCCCATATGATATAGCATAATGCTTCTCTGGCAAATCTCGTTTTATTTTATCTTTAATATTTATATTTTATTAATAATTAAGTTGAGTCCAAGAGGATTGGATCTCTCAATAAAAAAGACCCAAGCTGATTATTGAAGATTAGAGATGACTGAATCTTGATCTTGATTAAAGTTCAATTTGAATTCCTCATCTGTAATGTATCTTAATAATTTAAGAAGACATTATTATTGTGACAATGTTTTTATAATGTATCTTTTACTTGTAACAGATAATAAATAGTTGGATATTTAGTATTAAAGTCTGTTCTGTGTTGTGCGCTAACCTTTCAGTTTACACTCTACCTCGCTGTGGGAAATTGAGCGTGTGAAAGCAGCATGGACATTTCAGGCTAGAGCGCTCACAGGGTGCAGGGAGAAGTTGGAAAGAGGAAGAGCAATAATTAATTGCAAAAGGAACCCCCAATGACCTGGGCCATCTCATCTGTAGCTTCACTGTTGCATGGAGCAAAGTAGCAAGACGTAGGGTTGGATAACTTTGATTAACAGTGAGGCTCATTTCCTGATCGTGGAGTGAAAGTGAAAGAAGGGCAGATTAATCAAGGGCTGTTCAGGCTGAGGGAACATCTGATTGATTAGACTGCTATTCAAGAGGAAGTAAGATATGTGAGGAGTGTACTATCTGTATTTCCTGTGTATTTGTTTGAAGGAAAGGGAAACTACAAAGCAGCAATGTGAATAGTTGAAATAACATAAAATTAATGGTTTTGTGCAATCATTTCAGGTGGGCTGTACTAATAAAATGGTATTTACCCAAGAGAGGCCCCCAAGTTGGACCATCTTGTTTACAGGTATGTCCTAATATTGAACAAAACAACACACAATCAATACACACACTTCTACCTGGGCCAATTTGTGAAGTGATTTAAATGTTGATTTCAAAAAGGTCCAGTCTCAATTTAATGAAGTCATATTAAACATTGTGCTGCGTACAACCCCATAGAGAAAGGTTCATTTATAAAAATTATAAAATATTATGATAATGTAAAGAGACTCACCGTTTTACTAGAGGACATGGAGCTGAGTGTGCTAATGCTATTGGCATCCGTGACAACCATCGCTGAGGGGAACCGTGACGAGTGAGAATATTGTGGTGGTTCTTGTTTATGTGGATACACTAGAAAACATCAATAGAAATAATTATATATATATATATATATATATATATATATATATATATATATATATATATATATATATATATATATATACACATACACATATACATACATACACATATACATACATACATACATTTGAATTTTACTTGGCTTGCATGATGTTATGAAGCGACTGGATGAAATTGAATAAAATTTTATTTAAATATGTACTGCCTGGTCAATAATCATAGTTAATAAGTCAATAATGCACATATTTCTAAATAAAAGAAATGAATAGAATTGTAGGAAGGAAAGATTGAATGGTAGACATGACTTACTATGTGAATGTGTGACTGTGGCCATAAACGGCTGCTGGCTCATATGGCTTGGAGACTGCTGCATCAGACTTTGTTGGTGTGGGCTGTGGAGCGGCTGAGAAAACTGGACGGGCTGAAGTGCTGCTAAACTCCCTGCCACACTGTTGATCACTGGCACTGTTTGGGACTGGGACGTATTTAAACCTGTTGACACTAGAAAGAGTTAGGCACAAACCAAAGGGTGAGAGCACTGAGGCATTACACTGTTTGTAATATGTACTGTACTGTGGACTCACTCTGTGCAATAGCCATGACTCCTGATAGAGGCATGATAAGGTTCTGCGTCTGCTGGTGACTGTGATGGGAATTGTGAATGTTGGTCAATGTGCTCACTGGAGGAAGTCCACCACCCGAGCCCGAAATCTGAAATGTAACAAAAAAATACATTATATGGTTGATGTGAAAAACCTACTGCTATATCCACTGTTGTCCACCCGGCAAGATTACAGTTATTTGACAAAGTAGCAAATGTTCTGACGAATAGAACAGACCAGACAAAAAGTAAATAAAACCCTAACCTTAATGGCCACTTAATTTGTGCTATGTTTTTTTGTAAATATCTGTACAGAGGAATATATACTAGTATAAAATACAGTGGTACGGTGAACTATGTTTCCTTGTCACTGATCAAACATTGTACTAGCATATTTGATCAATAGGAACAGAATGTTTCTTTGTCAGGTTTATTGGCTGTGTGATGAACATGACTGGTGCCGCCAGTGAAGGTTGTGAGCAAGTCCAGCTATGGCCACCTCACCTGCACCTCCCAAACAGCAGCACAATGTGCTGATTGTTGGCTCTTGCCAGTGGGTCCATGGGAGGTTCAGGAACCTGCTTTGTACGCTCATGCTAAATGTAGGCCTGCCCTTATCTAATCTAAGGCCATGAGGCCCAGGTGTGTTCACTCACCATCTTGGCGTCAGGTGACAGCAAACTGTGGCTGGGGTCCAATCCTCCTGGAGACACCTGCTGTAGCACCGACTGAGTGGTCGCCATGGCGTTGCTGCTGTGGTGACTGATGCTGGACGAGGAAGTGACTTCACCCTGGCTATACCGCACTGAAAGAGAGAGGGACGGAGAGCCTCCTGTTTATTGTCACATTACACAGTGCAACACTAGGCAAAGGATTTCTTAAAACTGAAATACTGGCTCACCTGCTCTTTGCCTCAGACAGAAGAGGGAGGAAAGAGCAAACAAGCACACTGACCTGTCCACTGCTGCTATCTACGTAGCTCAGCCAAGGCCATTCACTAAGTACACTCATTCACTCCAGCAGCTAAACTCCCAAAGTCTCTGATCAGCACGTAAGTCAGTATTACCTTTGCCTTTCCATCACAAATTATGTTAAAAGCAATTATAGCTCTTTATAAATCGAAGTCAAGCATTTGTCTTTCACTTGTGGGTCTACGGAATGCCCCACTCTCAACAACTGACAATCTAATACCTGTTTGCTGATGCAGGACCTCTGTGATATCAACAGAGTAAACATTACACAATTACAAGCAATGTCAAACACATTCTTATCCCACAGACACTGCCCCGCCCTGAGTGACCCACTGTTTGCCCAAAGATCTCACATCTTCTCCAGCCCTTCGTCCCTGACCCAGGTGACAGTCCCAGGCAACACCCGCCCAACCACACAAAACACAGAAATAAGATAGATATACTACTATAAGTGACGTGACTGATTTTGAGGTTTGGGGAAAAAAACAAACAAACAGTAAGATTAAACAACTGATCTAGCAATTTTAGTAGCTGCCTCATAATATTAAAAAAAAAAAATTCTGTTGTTAAGTAACAGTCACAAAATACATTTAAATATTTTTTTTTACCATACACCATGTGTTTGAAGGAAATAAATTATGGTTTATAATACTTATAGTATAGATACTTAAAGCCAAAGTGTTTGCATCTATATCAGAACAGAAAAACCTGGATCAGTGCATCTTCACTATGCTCCACAACATATCTAGCTAGAAAACTCACAACACTTGACTGGGCCTTGTAAACACTGCCACAGAACAATAAAGCACTCAATTGGACTCATGACCCCCATTGCCACACAATAGAGAAAGGCCCATAAAAAGGCAGTTATCTTGAAGCTAGCTGATCTTTAAAAGGGTCCAAGGGGGAATGAAATGCTATTCAAACTAATGCAAACTAAGAACCAAGAATTAAATTGCTGTATTTCTCAAGAAATACTGAAGACAATGCAATAATTTAGATTATAATGATTAAAAAATATAATTTTAAATTTTGAGGGAATGTCCTTTGAGGACAGGAGGAGAGCAAGAAGATTCAGAGGAGTGGCAGCAAAAGGCTTCTATAGGTTTAAAATGCCCAAGCTCCCTGTGTGTCCCATGTAATATCAAAGTATACATCCCCAATCCCAGGCACTGGTCTTTGTAGTGCTGCTGCATATGACAGACCTCTTGTGTCTCTGCAGAACGTAGTCATTGCCTTTGTGGTTCCCAGAGAGTGGAGACAGTGAAAAGTGCAGAGCAAAGGGATACTTTCTGTGGGGAGCCTCTGTTTGGGCCTAGCCTGAGGTAACTGGAAGCAGCACTGCCCACATAACATCCCTCCTGCTACTGTAGCTGATCAGGAACTTCTGACTCGCAACTTTAGGACCTTTAGGAGCAGCTGACACAGCACCAGCACACATATCCCAGATTTTACACTTTACTTTATGCTTTAAAATGATAAATAAATAAATAAATAAATAAATATATATATATATATATATATATATATATATATATATATATATATATATATATATATATATATATATATATATATATATAACTAATGTATTTCCAGTTATGTTACTGAATGTAAGATTATTACAAACTCAAGCTGCTGTTATAGTTAAAGCACACAAAATGTTCATGGCATGTTACGTGACTAGTTTTAGGTGTAGAGAATAGTATGATCAAAGCCACATGACACACTGTTTGACTGTCCATCCAATTGTGACCAACTAACCAATGAGGTGAAACAAAATCAATAAAAACTCCCAAAGCAAAAGGAGTTCCTGTGTTCTGACCTACCAGTGACCTCTGCCATATGACTAAGGTGGGGTGGCTGTTTAAGAAAGGGGATAGTAGTTTTCTGTATGACCAAAGGAGAGGTCATCAGTCCTGTCTGGCCAATACCCCAGTGGACAGCTCCTGCTGCTCCAAGTCTGCTACCAGGCCCAGCACTAGACTAGGCCTGTAAAGGTGAGGGAGGAGAGGGGGCTTTTAAACAGTCCCTCATGGCCCAGTAGAGATAAATGAACCTAGGCTACAGTCACTGCAGTCGTCTAATACACCACAGACAATAGGACATCCTGCTGAGGCAGAGTATAGAGAAGAGAAGTCAGAGAAGCGCCTTATCAAAGGCCTTGGAGATGTAGGAGCAAGGGATTTTAATTGTCCATTAAGCATGCATAATACAGCCCGTGCCCTAGCAACACAATGAGACTCCCTGCTGGGGGGCTATTGTCAGGCTGGCTCTGACACTGAAAAACAGCTGATGCTGTCGGCAGCCTGCCAGCAGGAAACCTTGTAAGCAGCCTCACAGGACTTTGGGAAGTTATGCCTCCTACCACTGAGACTTCCCTCCTGCTCCTCTAGGACCCCTGTCCTACCACCTCAGCGATGACCCCTCTGACTTTGAAACCTGAGGTCAAAGCCTGGTCAGGTGTTCTGGTCAACAAAGCTCTCAGGCAAACAGACAATCTACAAGTGAGATCAATTAATCCACAGGTAAAAGAGCAGGTCAAGGCAAACTGTTTGTTTTCCTTCTCGTGTTCGAACACGGGGAGACAACAATAGAACCTGATTGAGTCTCTCAAATCACAGATTTATGGAGGGTGAATGATGTACAGGGTAATGCTTTGTAAATCCTATCACCTCTCTTGTTATGTCATATACCCAGTTAGACTCAGTCAATACTAATTAAGGCAAACACAAACATTAGGTTTGTGAATTGTCTGAACAGTGTCATTAGCACTGGGTTCATGAAGGAAATGTAGAAATTATGGTGTAAAGAGAAACTGAGGTGAATATAACTCTGTGACCCCCCCCATGACCTCGGCCTGACACACGAGGGCTGCCCTTTGTGCCATGGCACTTCATGCTGACTTTGGAGTGGAGATTGCAGGTACAATGTGGATTGTTTTCAGTGTGTTTTCAAAGATCAGAATAACAATGGCATTTGCTCAGCTCACTCAGTCATGCTCATTGATCACTTGTCCTCTCTTTCTCTGCCTCTCTGATCTCATCAACAGGAGGTCTCTTCGTTTTTCATACAATAAAATATAAACAATTTCTTTGAGCTGTATATGAAATAATTAAAGTTTAATTATAAATGTAAACCCTATATACTGTTTTAGTCATTTCTAACTTTAAACTCTGTAACTCCACAACACTCTACCTGTCATCTTACTGGGAGGGGATGCGCTGGTCTGGTGATGAGGTGATCCATGGGACAGCAGTGGGTTGATGCTGTGGGTTGGCGTGCTGTAAGCGTCCATAGCCAGTTTCTGCCTGAAAGCTTCTTCTTTACGTCGATTTGCAAACCAGTTGTAAACTCGGACTTCAGTGACTAGGTTAGATCCCAGACCTTGAGCTTTGGAAGGTGATACTCCTCGCTGAAGACACTCAGCTCTGCAAAAAGAAAAGAATGTTATACAATAAACAGAATACTACAATACTATTTTGCTTTACAATGAATTAGTGTAAATACAGTACCTGTTGCATTCTTCTACCAAAGCTTCTCTTTCCTCTTTGCTGGGGTTCTTCTGCCTCTCGTAGGCCTGGTACAGGATTTGCTGAGATGCAGGACCCCACTTGAAACGATTGCGCCTCATTTTCTTGGAGGATGGTTCACTTACATCATCACCAGACTGTCCCATTTGACCAGGGTTGTATTCTGGGTAAAAATATATTGGATCCTGGTTGCCTTTGTCTGAGATGTTCCCACCAGCACCTGGGGCCTGGTTGAATTCTAAAAAAACAAAAACAAAAATGGTTTAGTCAGAAAGAAACTTTAGTTTACCTGCTTATATTTATCAAAAAGAAGTTATGAAAATATTTTTACTGAATTGTACATTTTTATTATAACAAGCTTTCAATCAGAGACCATAAATTTGCTGCTGTTGCATGCTCAGGAACCAACCACCCATCTAACTTCCCCATAGATTTAAATGCTAAATCAAGTGTTGTGCTTCTGTCAATAGATTAGAGTCCATGGCTGAGCTGTGAGAAACTCAAATATTAACTTACGTCGGAGAATTTCCCTCTGTTTCCTGACATACCAGGTGTAGAGGGCCGCACGCTTCTGGGTTTTCATGGGTGTGCCTTTGTTGAGGTGCTGTGAGAGGTGAGACTGGTTCAGACCCGTAATGTCCACCACTTCTCTCTGGGGAATGTTGTGTTGCTGCATGTAACCTTTGATCATGCGGGCAGCACGCCATGGGTCCTCGCTATGGGATAGAAAAACACATCAGCCAAGTTTTAAAACACACAAATTGACCAAATGCAAGTATTGCTTTCATGATGACACTGGACTAAATGTAATAATAAAGTTATATTGTTTTTTTGTTTTTGTTTTGTTTTTTAATGTAGGCTAACATATATTTTAGAAATATACAGCCTTGACATTTGAAAAAAAAAAGGTTCAGTAGGCCTACTTTAAAGCCACCGCTAAATCTTCACCAGGGCTAAGCAGTTCCAAAGGTTAGTCAAGTAAAAACACACCTCATTTCTGTAAAGTATAGCCTATAAAGTGTTTGAATTGCACATGAAAGTAAATATCTTGGAAAAAATGTAAAATAGAACTGAAACTTGTCTTGAAAAATAAATGTGACCAATAAATGTGTGTTGTGTCTTGTAGTGCATTTAAAAATATTGCTTAAAATATTATTTTTTAAATTAATTTTAGGGTTAACTATTAACATAACACTATGACAAATGATTCATTATTTGTCAGCTTTTGAAAAGTATGTCTTGAATGCAGTCCATAGGTTTCAGAATAATTAATTAGGACTATTGCTATAGTGATTTACAGTTTAAAAGAAAATACTATATAATTTGAATGGGAAAGAGCCCTCAAAATGTTGCATGAAATAGGAAGCTGAAACCCACAAAAAGAACATTTCATTGCTACATTTTCAGCAATTAATATTTTATGTAATAAGTTCAGACTTACCAGGAATAGGACAAGATTTGCGGCTTTAGACACTGACATCAGTAATTAGAGCAAATCTACACACGTCTGTTTGTTTTGGACAATGTGGAGGCCTACGACTTAGTCTGTGGGTTAAGTGGGAGATGTTAGTTTATAACTTTTGACAATGAATAACCAGATCTCCATTCACTCTAATCACACGCCACTGTGTATCTTTCAGTTGATGATTTATAGAATAAAATTAATAATAACATTACTACACGTGGTTGAGTTTTGAAATATTTTCGGTAGCCAACAATGTATTATTATTATTATTATTATTATTATTATTTAGCTATTATATTAGCAATTATATTGGCATATTTTTATTTTAGAAATTGTATTCACTTTTGCTTGTTGTCAAGATGTTTAGTAAGTTTATAACTTTAATTTTAAATAAGAACTTTACAAAAAATAATCAGTGTAGATAATTAATAGCTAGAAAGTTCAGAAGCGCGGCGGGTTATTTTAAATTTGTAAACAAAAGGTGTCGTTGGTGTTGAAAACTTAATTTGATGTTTCGATTAGCGATGCGACGTGTGATTTTGCCGTTTAACTTAACGCAGCTACGACCGAAAATATCTTTAAAAATATATTTGCAGAATTTTCTAATAGCCTAATAAATAAGTTTATTACTCACGCTAACATGCGCTCCACTTCGGCCCGCTGCTCGATGGCCTCCTCGGTGTTGAGTGACTGGAGCTCCTTCAGGATCGGCGGCGTGTCGTAGTCGTCGCCGTCCTCCGAGCCCTCGTCCCCGGACAGTTTGCCTTTACTGTGGCCGTTGGTGAGCTGGTGAAAGACGGGTTTGGAGTCCGAGTCGTTGCCGTTCATTTTGCCGCTCTGTGGAGACAGGGGCATATTCTCCAGTTTGACCCCGAAGCTCGCCGGGCTCGGGTCCATGTCGTCTAGCGCCTGGATCAGCACATCTTTGGAAACTCCAGAGTCCAACAGCGCGCTGAGGAGCTCCTGCTGTAGGGATGTCAGCTTGGATACCATCTTAGAAAACATCAAAAATGTATCATAGGTAAGCTGTGGGTAAGTGGAGGCAAGGCACCAGGCTGAAAAGGTTAAAGAAAAGTCATAGGAATTAAATAAGTTTCTCCTTCAGGCCAGAGCCGTGGTCTTCCGCTGCTGGCACCTCTGACAAGTCCGACTTCCCTTTTGAGGGGAGGATGGAGCTACTTTGCCATGATGCTTTCTGGGCGCAGGGGATATAAAACATGGTAATGAGTGGGCCGGCTGATGGGCCTTATGTAAATGCGCACAATGAGCGACTCTGGGCCGAGGCAGACGTGTTTACACTGCTCCACTGGCGCTTTTATTGGCTCTTCTTATCAGCAAAACTTTCATGAACTTTGTACCCTGTTGAAAATGCCATAAAGGCTTTTAAGAAAGGCGAGATCCGCATTCACAATGTGGGCATTTGATCAGCAGCTTTCAGGAGAACTTCAGGGTACTTTTAGTGTAGATTCTTTTAGATTTTACGCAGGGTATTAGGCCAGGCCATATTTAAACGCATACGTTTCATATAAGCCTACTCCAGTCTTTGAGATCAGCTTGTATTGAAAGCTATAGCTATAAGAAGTTGAGTGTCTAGGTTTAAATAGCGTAGGATTTGTTTTAGTTTGATTTAGGCTAACTCCATTGGTCTACAATAGCCCCTGTGATGATAAACAGTCATAAAATATTATTTATTTAGTTCAATTAATTACTAATAAAATACACTGTTTGCACACTATGAATCCATGTATGCACCTTAATTACAAATGAACAGACAGAACAGAAAGGCTTAACAACAGTACTTAAAAAAATAAGTAAATTTATATTGTAATCTGTATTCTGTCTGCCCAGAGTTAGATAGGGCTCACTGTTTTGAGGAGATGAAGACATGTTTTGTGACTTTATTACATTTATTGAAACATTGTCACTGTGCAAACGCATTAATAAAGTAATTTACATGATTCAAGCTTGGATCTCAAAAAGTGAAAATTGGAAATCCCTGTCCATGCACACATGTCTGATTGTAAACACCAAAGAAAAAGTGAAAATAGAGAGCAATAACCTCTGTAAATATGTATAGAGGTTTACAACAAGAATCTTAGCCAATTATTGGTCAGAACTGTAATCTTTCAGTGTAGTATCAATGTGGTTGATCATTAGTAATAACATGAAATACTCCCTAATCCCTAACATTAACTGGAGTCATATGGTTGTATGGCTTTGGCATTGTCTAGTGTAAGGTCATGCTTAGTCTGACTGTCTTCGCACTAAATAATCACTACTTTATTAACAATCTAAAATGGTCCAATTATAGCACAGAAGAACCTGCAGATAAAAAGGTGTGCCATAAACACGGTAAGGCAAACCTGTGTTAACTGTTATTGATACTGATTATTGGCTGTTATTGATGTACATGTGATATTATTGCTTTAATTTCGTTTTGTTATATTTTTTTCTCTTTTGACACCACACCATCAAAGACCTTACATTAGATTTTCATGTAAATAAATAAGATTACCCAAATACTATTACTATTATTGGCCTTTACAAATTTTAAAGTCAAAATACGGCAACCCTGATTTACCATCAACAGATGCTAGTAAATGGTACATACAATAAAATGTAATTTTAACAATAAAGTAAGGTGAAATTTCTTAATTAACCAAACAACCTGCAAAAATGCAGCAAAATAATGTCATAAATGTCAGTTGTTCCATATGAAGCCCAGCCAAAAAAAAAGCATGAACAGAGCCACACATATCCTGACACTTTCACATTTTCCATTTTAATATCTGTCAAAGATTAACAGCAAATAATAATAGCAAAAACAGAGATGGTCACGTCCGTTGTGAAAGCAAGTGTGTAGTGAAGCATGGCGCGGAACATGTCCTGCCCATTACATTTTCACACCGACCCCTGGCACCTGGATTGGGCAAGAAAAGTCAGGAACTGTCCAGTATATGCTCTGTTTGCTAACAGATATGCTAATTATATCTGAAATAATGACATGAAAGATACAAAAACTAATACATATTTCGCTTTCTTAAAATATTAGATATATTTAAAGTACCATGTTTGCTCAAATTCATTTGGTTTTAATCAAATTTTGTCCCCTCTGTCAGTTGTAAGTAAAACTTATGTATGTATAGAATAGTTTTTTTTTACTAATTCATACAGTAAACATATGCATAAAATGTATTTATACAAATTAACACATTTAGAACAATTTATTTTAATACATTTAATTTAAATTAATTAAATTTGTTTTAAGTTAAGTTTATTGAAGTGTTCATGATGTTCCCTCACTCACATCATGGTTACAGTAATTTGTTGTTATTTCAGATGAGGCGGCGCTGGGGACACGCTGTACGTTTCCAGGCTCTGGATGTGCTTGGCCCAAACAAGCTTATTCTTTGGCCTTTGGTAACCTGTCCTCCTCACCTCCTAGCTCTGATGGTGGACTGAGCAGAACATTTGGACAGAGGCTGAAAAAAAGAGGTCAGGGTTGAGGCTGTGCGTGAGTCTCCAGGCTCATCAGGCCGTTCCACAGGGTGAGCTGGACCTTACCCTTGCTCCGCCGTGACCCCTCTGACCGCTTCAGCAGTGAGGGAAATGATAGTGGTAAACCTTTTTTGATCCTAAAACTTGTTCTTATTGTATGTTTAGTTTACGTTTTTATGTCTTATAAAAAATCATAATAATATATTTGATTTATATAGCAGATTTTGGATTCTTTACATTCCATTATTCAGAAATGTGCTAAAACTTGCCCAAAAAAGTTATATGGTAAAGGTGAAATCCAGTTTCACCTTTACCAAGTTATAGCTGAGGTTCTAGAATTTGTTTTCGACATATCTCCCACATGGTTTGTGTTGTATTTATGTTCTCAATTTTAACAGCGTGACATAATATACTAATAACAGGTATTTCCACATAAATAGGGGTGTCTTTATTACTTTTAGTAAACCACCCAAACACATTAATCAAGTTAAATCTCTTAATATGATGACTCCCTTGAACTGCTTTAAGAAATCTGTGAGCAGATTCAGGTTCTTTACCAAACTGATTGTATCACAGTTAAGTCTGATTAAAACACCACCTTTGATCTTTATCAGGGAAATAAGATTTGATCAGATCACTGAATCTAGGATGTATCACTCAAGACCATTTCCCTGTTTGCTCTTGAGTATTACGTGCTGAATATAAGGAAGAGGAAAGTGATGGAGAGAGCTGGTATCCATCCACTCCTCCCAATTCACAAACATGACCGGTGGATGATCCTGTGGCGGTGGAGGCGGTGGAGGTGGCTGGGTCCCCTTTTGGCCTGGTCCTCGGACAGTGTTAGCTCTGTCAATAAGCACATGCACCAGGGCGTGTGTCTGTCTGTGCGCTTGAATCTGGGCCTGAAAAGCTTCAAGTTTCTTGTTTGCTCTTTTGACTGCATAAGGTGTGTGTGTGTAGCCAGCAACATTGCGTTTCCTCCTCTTTTCTTTTGTTAAATCATGTCAGATCAGAGTGGCTTTGAGGTTGGAGCTGTTAATCACAACCTCTGTCTCAAGTCTTGTTTGAGAATGAATTAATGTCTTTTCTTGGATATCTTTTCATTCAAAAGTCAATAATACATTTGGCATTTTCCAGACTGTAAGGTGTATTTTTAGCAGAAATAACCCAGACACTGTAAGTAAATACTGTAATATTCGGGTTTGGCTGTGAGGGCAGAGTGACCCTTGAAACATACCCCCTCTACTCTACAGTCAGGAGGCAAGACAGATACTCCCAGGTCTTTAAAGCCAAACATTACCTCAGACAAATCTAAAGATCTTACTTCGCTTCATACTTTTTTGTTTGTTTTTTATTAAACATAAGTATGTTAAAGTGTTAAAAACAAGTATTATGTATTAATTATAAGTGCCATCAGTTGGTAGAGCAAGTACATATACAGTACATGGCAATTACATCTTGGCATTTATTTGGGATTATTAATATAAATAATATTGGATTTATTTTGTCAATACAGTTCTCTGAGGAATTCCTTTATGATTAAAAGAATGTGGGCTGAACCACCAAGACTAGATCTAAAAAGTGGTCATTTGTCCTGATGTGAATAAGTGTTGATGGTGACTAGAGTTGTCAAAATATATGAGCTGATGTTTCTGTGTGTAGGGGTTGTCCAGGCCAGCTGCTGCGGCTGCTCTCCTGCGAGTTGCTGGTCAATATTGACTCAGGGATCTGAGCACAGCCACTTTGTCTGAAGCACAAGGTGAGATATACCTGCTGTCTCTATGACATCACACTCAAAAACAAAACATGTGATTTTTAAAGAAGACATATTCTGCTTTTCTCTTCTATTTTTTTTTTCTTTTATGACTCAATTAAGTTGAAATTTAGTGAAAACAACCCAGAGCCAGTGTTTTTTAGTAATAGGCATGGGGCAATATAGAAATTTTATGTCAAGTTTATCAAGGCCAAAACAATTGGTATTAGTTATAATTTCACGATTGAAGGTGCGGACAGTTTCAAAAAGTATGGATAGTAATAATTAAAGTTTAAACAACTTTTATGTAATTGTACTTTGCTATAAGTTTATTATCACAGTTATATAAAATATTCCATGAACAAATATTTTCTGCCCTTTTTATCACACAAAGCATTATTATTGTTTATTGTACCATCCCTGGTTAGTACTATCCTGTGGGTGGGAAGGGGCAATGGATTATTTTGAGCATGCAAGCTTGAGGGACAAAACAGGGCTATACAAACATACAGTCATCCAGTATACAACTATGACTAATATACTTTTACTGTATTTTTCACAGTATGCTCCCTTAAAAATATACAGTCCTCATTGTGGTGCCATATAATAAAATGAAGTATCAGATGGCACATGGCACTTGTAGAATCTCATCTATGAATGCAGGATGTGTATTTCATCTTTGGGGGATATCTATCCCCATGAACTGACATTTATTCTCTAGTTATTTATTATGCAGAGTTACATTTGCATGGCCCTAGCGTTCACAGTTGATCCATGCCAGCGCTTCGGTTTGCATAGCTGTGCAGTTATGGTAATAGGCACATAAGCCTGGTTTTGTTCATTCGAGAATAGTGAACGGTGAACGATAGAGTAAAAAGAAGAGAAAAGTGGGAAGGAGTTTTTTTAAACTTCCTGTTTATTTTACAACACATTTCAGTGGAAGCTGAAGAATGAATTGACTAAAATTAATTTACTATAAATTGTTTTCTTGTAAAATAGCTAAAATACAAGCTGTAGAAA